AAGCTTTACTGCCGCAAGGTGAAGGAGGGCAGGCTTGTTAAATATGGTTCTGGAAAAGCGCCTATGACTGTTTCTGGCGAGATCAGTCATCAGCCCCCTTCGTCACAATTAGCGGCAGACTGCGCCCAGCTGTGCGCGGCTTTGCCACTCCTTAACGTTCCCTCTCGTCAGCCTCCCAGTGCTAGCTAACTCATACCAGAATGCGCCTCTGGGGCTGCATACCACTCACTCTCCTGGCTCTGGTAGCTCTTTCTTCAACTACCCAAGTTGCATGGGATTCAGACGCAACCATTCAGTCTAATGGCACATTGGTTGACATTCTCAATAATGATGAGGACTACTCGTCACTCCTATCTCTCCTGCAGAAAGCTAAACTTATACCAACGTTGAACAAGTTGAATGGAAGCACCCTTTTCGCACCAACTAACGACGCAATTAAACGTCACGATCTTTGGAGGTCAGCCCTCGAGTATCCTACCTTGCTCAAAGACAATGTGCAAGAGGAGCTACGTCAGCAACTGTTCTACCACCTCCTTAATTACTCCGTAACTGAAGACCCAAAGGATTCGACTACACTGCAAGTTCATGAAACACTCCACTTCCCCAAACTCGCCCTGCATCCTCCGACTAACAGTCCTCCCCCATGGATCCCGATACCCGAGAGCAGTCTAGGCAACCAATCTCAGAAGTTACGTCTCACTTCACGAGATGGCGTAGCCTGGGTCGGTGTCGACGCTTTTGGCAAAGGGGGTATTGAAGTAAAGAAACAGAAGGTGGAGGCAGCAAATGGTGTTGTGTACGGGATTGCTCACGTCCTTGAGGTTCCACTCGACCTCGGTCAGTTTCTTATAACCCATATCACAACGCTGTCTCACCCATACACCCAGGTCGCGTCCTGTCTCATGAACCGTCGTTGTCATATATCCAGAAGGTCCTCACACCTAGCATGCTCAATGTCATCAACTCTACCTCTGAGCTTACGTTGTTCATCCCCGTCGATTCTGCATGGGAAGCACTCGATTCAATTGAGCGGTTGTACCTCGAAAGCCAATTTGCTGCGGATGATCTCCTGCGCATACTCAACATGCATGCTGTTGTCGAGAAGAGTGTCAGATGGTCGGATACTTTCGACTCAACCACCACCTGTAAGCAGCTCTGCGTATACGTAATTGTTGCGTTGACATTGGGAGTGCAGTGACTACTGAATATGGATCTAAGTTGGAAGTCGTCATCTCCGAAGGAAAGACTACAGTATCAGGCGCTACCCTTTCACAGCCCGATCTCTATGCGAGTAATGGAGTCTTACACCTCGTTTCCTCTCTACTGGTTCCACCAGGAGCCCTTCAGCTAACTCCTGAAAAATACCTTCTTACATTTAACTGCACTTCATTTATCTCTCTCATACACTCAGTCAATCTTACCCACCTCATCAATGATACCGAGACTCAATACACCATCCTAGCACCGAAGGACGATGTTTTATCCATTTTCGAGAATGACGGCTTACCCAAACAGGGGAGCGATGAGTTGAAGAGGATGTTGCAGTACCACTTTCTCCCTGGGAAATGGACGCCCGAGAAGTTGGTGGATGGCATGCTACTAGAAAGTGTACTTCAGGAGCCAGGACTTGATGGCGGGAGACAAGTCATGCACGTAGAGGTCAATGACGATGAGGAGCAGGATGTTCCATCCAGACATATCAAGTTTGGCGGAGCTGGCATTACTGGAGAGCACAGTGAGTGATTTTCAGACGACGCAGCTCGCGCTAAATCTCAACCAGTTGTTATCAACAATGCTGTTGTCTACTTTATCTCGTCACCTCTGGAACCACCTGTGGACCCGCTTCAAACAGCTCTACCCTCTCTTGAGTTGTCTTCGTTCCTTGCCGCAGTCTTCTCCACGTCCATTGCGGATGGCATTAAGAAGACGCCCCGTGCAACGTTCTTCATGCCTCACAATGCTGCTTTCAAGCGGCTCGGTAAGCTGGTCAGCGACCATCTGCTAGCTGCTTCATCCAAGACGGACTTGGAGAACGTCATAATGCACCATATCATAGACGGTGTTGAATACTCCCAGAGCCTCGTTAATGGCTCTCTGCGCACTTTCGCCACCCTTGAAGGATCTGATTTACAACTGGAGCGCCTACCAAATTTATCCGTTATCGTTAGCCCTAGCGGTGGCTGGGCTGGCATGAAGAGCGCGTTATATCCGACAAACATGCTCACCGAAACTGGCGTGATACACGAGTTGTCGGATCTTATGATCCCGCGATCTGTGGAGTTAAATGTAGGAAAGCTTATGAAAGCGGCCAAGGCCACCACTATGATCAACATGGTCACGAAAGCTGGATTTGACTGGATCCTGAATGGAAGTGCTCCTCCTGAGGGTTCAAAATGGGCAGACCAGGGTTTAGGTGGGGCGAGTTGGACCCTGCTTTGTCCAACGGATGATGCGTTCAAGAAATACAACCTTACGCAGCTTCTCGAGAATATCGACATTCTTCGCGCGCTCGTCAGCCAACACCTCATTCGCACTCCATCTACAGGAGAATCTGGTTCATTCAACGTCTTCGACGCCATGAATGACAACCGCCCCCTTCCGCTGGAAGATTTGGGCGAATATCCCACTCTCCTCTCGCCTTCTTCTGCGTATGGTGATATTGTCTTCCGCGCGTTGGACGACAAGGTGTCCCATTACATGGTCGGGATCAAGAACGCAAGGGGGACAGACAAGCAAGCTGACTGGGCGCGCGTCCTAACGTGGGGTCGCACAACGACGGGCGGAGGTACGGGCGGCGTTATCACCATCGACCGCATGCTCGCCCCGTATCATCCGCCATGGTGGATCGAATATTTCGCGCCGTCCTTCGTGGGAGCGCTTGGCGTTGGGTTGATAGGCTTGTTCTTCTATGGTGTCCGGGTAGTCTGGAAAAGGGATGTGACGGAAGCCACATATGAGCCGGTTGGTGGGTTTGGACAGGACGATAGTACTTGACGAATCATTACAGATACTTGACGACTAATTTGAAGACTCTATGTGACATTACTTATGCTACAATTTTCTAAAAGTGCAACTCGAAACAAGCCAGCTTGCATAATCCAGGATGTGGGTTTCTCTGTCATCATACTTGCGGGGTAAGGTGGATGGTGGAAGCAGGTGAAAGTTTGATCATTGATGGAGGAGTTTGATCGGAGAACCGGCTGCAAATCATGTGGCAAGCTAATCCGACGCGTGAATATCATATGAAAGTGCATCCGAAGGGCTCTCGTTTCCTTGTCGGAGTACCGCAGTGTATTCTCTACCTACCATTCTCTTTTTCTTTTCTCATACTCGTACAAAGACTTCGCACCGCCCACCATGGTCAGAACCATCTTTCAATTGGTCCACAGCACGCTTACACAATTTCTTAGAGCAGCGAAGCACCAGCAGCCGAGGAGGCCAAGAACTCGGCAATTGACAACGTAAAATCGTTCATTGCAGGAGGTTTTGGAGGAGTTTCTGCTGTCCTTGTGGGTGAGAAGGCTTGACTTGAGCATTCTGACCTACATTGATCCGTTTTTAGGGCATCCTTTTGACCTGACCAAGACGCGGTTACAGACCGCGGCTCCTGGCGCATATACCGGTGCAATTGATGTTGTCAGGAAAACGTTAGCTCGAGATGGTGCTACTGGGTGAGTAGCTGCGTCTATGCTCAAGGCTACTCTCAATCGTCAATCAATAGCTTGTACCGTGGAATGGTACCTCCACTCCTGGGAGTCACTCCAATCTTTGCAGTGTCATTTTGGGTAAGTGAACAGCGACTATATCTAAATTACTTGTCTTTGCTGAGACTGCTACTTTCAGGCGTACGATGCCTCCAAGAATTTGATACTCGCACTCACACCCAAGCGTACATCCGAAAAACTTTCCACAGCAGAACTTGCCGCTGCCGGTTTCATGTCTGCGGTACCAACGACACTGATTACTGCACCTGTTGAGCGAGCGAAGGTTCTGCTGCAGGTGCAAGGTCAGGGAGGTTCAGGACCCCAATACAAAGGTGTCTTCGATGTCATGAAGCACCTTTACAGAGAAGGTGGTGTACGGAGTATCTTCCGAGGCACTGGTGCAACTATCGCTCGTGACGGACCAGGCAGTGCGGTGTAAGTTTACATCTGACGTTCGAGAACACTGAACTGAACTGACGTCCTTCAGTTACTTTGCGGCGTATGAAGTTACCAAGAAGGCCCTGATGCCGGCTGGGTCGTCAGCAGGAGATCTCAACCTAGGCGCCATCATGTTCGCAGGCGGAACTGCAGGTGTCGCAATGTGGTCAATAGCTATACCCCCAGATGTAACGCCTCAGGGACTGTAACCTCTCTAACATTGTATTCACGTTGCTTCAACAGGTTTTAAAATCCCGCATACAATCTGCACCTTCTGGCACATATTCTGGACTTTTCGATTGCTTTAGAAAGACCGTAGCGCGTGATGGGATTACTGCATTATGGAAAGGTCTTGGTCCAGCGATGGCCAGAGTACGTCGTTTCCATGATTGTGCCAAACATTGCTTACTATGTTATTACTGTAGGCTTTCCCAGCTAATGCTGCCACATTCGTACGTTTTGTTCCTCAATCTGACTTTGTTACTGTGCTCTAATCAGTATTGGTTATGGCAGCTTGGTGTCGAAGCCTCGCGGAAGTTAATGGATGGATTCTTTTGAATGGTTCACGATTTTATGGAACATATATGACAAATGGAATTCATCACTGGGTTGAAGTTGTGCCACAAGAAAGTTCAATTTGTCACGCACATGAGCAATCACGTCTTTGCAAGTACAGCCGCTGTGACACTTTCATCCACTCTCTTCATATCCCCCAACCCCTGGCATTGTCGCGAAGCTACACGGTAGGCTCCCGACCAGATATGTACACTACGACTCCACTTGACGCGGTGACCGGACTGGTCACGAGTCTAGACGCACAGGGCATGAATATCGATCTTCCATAAGTGTCCCTTTACAGTCATCTCATCTATTCTCATCTACGACAAGTTGCTCACTCCGCCATGACGTTGAACATTGTCATGAAATTCATTGCCAGCAGACTCCGGCAGATCGTTGTGCACTGCATGAATGTTACAAGACAACAATAGCACCCGTGAATTCCAACCATGGGAATCAGAGCTCAGGACTACTGTGAGATTGCCGATATATTGGGATCTCATAAAGCACTGTAGAATCGCCCCGGTCTCATCACACTTACTTCTGCCCACAATGGCTGCACCTCCCGAAGTAACGACCAAGAATCTCACAGGAAAATATATTATGGTTCGTGTGGCCAGGTTATGTGCGCTGCAAGGACAATTCTGATGATATTCCCGCTCACTGGTGACAGAACAAGACATTGAGTGATGATAGCGATGATATCCTCAAGCTCCAGGGCGTATCTTGGTTCAAGCGGCGTGCCATCTCAATGTTTACGTTGACGCTTAACGTCAAACATTATACAGATGAGGCCGGCACTGAGCACATAGACATCGAGCAGACTCTATCCGGCGGTATGTCGGGCAACAAGGAGGACCGCACTCTTGATTGGGAGGAACATAACCAATACAACGATGTTTTTGGTGCTCTGATAGGACAATCAAAGAGAGTCAAGGTTGAGGAAGTAGATGATGAATTCTTAAAGACTGGCTGGACGGAAGACGCAGTTGAAGATGGGTTGATCCTTGCTGTAGCCTGGAGCGATACTCCAAAAAGTGGTATGGAGTGGAAGGCAGAACTGGTACGATTTATTATTTTGTCTTACTCGTCCCTCATATGTATTCTTCAGACATGGGGGTTTGAAGAATTAAATGGCGAGAGGAGATACGCTAGACATGTGAAGTTCACATCATCGGATAAGACGGATGGTCCGATCTTTAAACACCTGTATTACGATTACGGCGAGTCACTTCTTGCAGTGATCTATATTATATGCTCATGATCCATCTTTCTCCTAGCTGGACCCAGCTGAATACCACGTACGGACCTTGAATAATGTACTACGGCGAGCGAGAAACAATCTGCTACGAAGACGTTTGCCTTTGTCAATTGCAAAGGTTCAAACTTTGGTCTTTGTAATTGCTACTCACTGATAACTTACACTTGCACTATGTATATCCAATGTACACACTCCTCCATCTCGGACAACCCAGAATCGATCGATTTAACTAGAACCATTTTGCAAGTAGGCCGAAATATAGCTGAGCTCGAACAAAGCAGTTTTTGTTGAAATCAGACGGATTGGGAACAATGAGTGGTGCAGAAAGTGTTCAAGTTGGAAGCGAAGCGACTAATTAGCGCTCGGCGACCATGTCAGCAAGTACTCAGGAACCTGTCTCGGCTATAGGTCATTAATATGAACCAACAGTTATGAGCTTTAGTTATGGCCGACTCCAAGAAAAAATACAAGTCGTCCAGTCAACCACGAGCTGTATCTGCTTCCGAGTATGTCTAACCTGTTCTGTAATCATTCGATCTAATCACTACTCAGAATTGCTCGTAATTTGGGCAATTTTGAGACATGGTCATCACATCAATGTTGTGAACAAGTTTCTCTCTCTGACCTCCCCTCCGAATTTCAAGAGGATGTGGACAATCTCTTTGGTACCACAAAGCGAATTCCTCGCTCCTGGTTAGACAGGGTGAGCAGCTCGTGTTTCAAGTCTCTTCATGATGTTCATATGCAACTCGTGCAGTCTTTTGACTGTAGCCCAGGTTTTGCCAAGTTTATAGCAGATGCTTCACAAACGGCACCAGAACTCTTCTCCGCTGACCACTGTGCAAGCAGCGAACTATTTGAAGACGTATGTGTCGTTTTCAGTGCATGGAAGCGTTTGGCAAAAATGAGGAGCTCCAAAGAGAAATGGTCTGAGGCGGACTTCGTGGCCAACGTGTGAGGTATTGGTTGAAACATTGAAATACAAGGTTCTGATATATTACAGGTACAACGTATTCCGAACTTCTGCAATTAGGGAAAGTACCTTCCGGTGTGTCCTATCTCTTCTGCGTGGTTGGGCGACTTACGAACGACAACAGGGTGCAATGCGCAATTTCGCTCCCGCAACCGCAAGACACATTTCAAAACGCCCTCGATGTGCCTCGCGTATTGAATACGAAGACCGTCATCCCTGACTGCGCAATCTTCATTCCCGCTTCACGGACTCGACCATTGTCGCATTCTGCCAAGTCACCATATAAACTCCTGAAGAACCACCCTGCTGTAGTTAAAGCTGGGAATGCGGCCAAGAGATCTTCTTTCAGGTACCAGAGCACCCCGTGCGCTCAACTTCCCGATATGCCTGGCTTTGAGTTTGCAAGCAGCTTTTGGGAGGATAAGAAGCCTGTGCATACTCTTCTTGATGATGCGTATCGCCAGAACCGCATGTCAACAACTGCTGCTGTTCGGCATTTACACTCCCTTGGTATCCATGCTCCTGTCACGGGGCTTATTTGGGCAGATGGAGTTGTCCGTGCGCATGTTGATTGGTGTGAAGAATTAGAGGGAAAGACAGTATGTCGATTGTTATTCTGGACTGGATTATCTTATGAAGTTATAACGTTGCAGGTCGTGATGTCTGCTCCGTATTGTGGTCCCCAAGATCGATCATCAAACGACGTGTTCCACGAGTGGAAACTTGATCGTCCAAGCGACATTCTGCAGGTTTACTTCCTTGTTCGGAACATTGACGAGTGGACCACAGGCAAATTCTCAGAATATATTGTCCGGGGTGTCAATCAAATGGTGAACAAGCTGTCCTCCAGCGAAAGGACATATAAACCCTGGAAATGGGTCGGGGACCTGGCACCTCCATTAAAGACCAACGCGCTGAAAGAGAATCACAACATTTCTGTTACCACAGTTGTGACTTCGGATGCGTCTCCCTCTCCACCTAAGCCCAAGAGCAGGCGACGGAGACGCAGGTCCAGTAATTGATCCCCTCGGACTGTCAGACGATAATTTGCTTGTACTACATTGAGTGTTGTAATTCAAAACCTACGTGCTATACCATGAAGTACATACAGATCTCAACTTCTATTTCCACACAGATGGGATTTTGGTGATAACATCTGTCCACTGTGACAAGCGATTCTCCTCCCATTCTTCTATGTAAGAAAGGCCAGCGTTAGCACGGCGTCCCTCCTCCACTTTCAGACGTTTCTCAGCATCACACCAGAAGAAGACCCACGAGCCCATCCGCATGTGGCCAGAGCTACGCTCGAAGTACCACTTATTAATAGGATTGTTATCACGACTCCGCCAAACAAGGTCTCGGCCTTCACCCTTGCCCTCCTTGCCCCCGTTTGGGTTAATGGAGAACGGGTGGCCCAAACCATAAGATTCGTCATGGAGGGCGACCCACAGGAAGTCAACGGTGCCATCACCCTGGTGACTGGGCAATACAGCAAATTTATCGAGATATGAGATGGGTTCAGAGGAATCGGGCGAGGGCTCGTTGGTGACGATGGCAGCGCCGACATAATCTCCTGCGATCACGACAAAGTCAAGGGTTTGTTCTAGACGCTTGTAGAAAGCGTCAGCATCGATGGTGCGCTTGAAAGAGGTCTCCAAGAGATAGTTCATCTTTGCTTTGTCAACATCTGCAAGGCTGCGGATGACTTGTATTGGGAGACCGCGACGCAGAAGAGTGGGCGTGTCCCGCGTGAGCTTTCGGTTACCTTGGAGAAGTGCGTGAGGCAGGCTCGAGCTAACGGCGGGCTTGTTCGTGATGAGGTTGGCGATGAGGGAACTGGGTGAACGGTGAGATACCATGATGGCAGATGATGTAGGCGGCATGTACGCTAAGCATGTACGCGCGAGGGACAAATTTGAAAGCGAAGAGTGCTTTCCCTTGGACCATAATGGGTCGTAGGTATCGCGGATATAGTCATACTCGGAGGTGAGGTTGATGAGGAGATGAGGGAAACCTGTCCTGGCATAGGAAGGGACGCCTCCTTCCCGACTGATAACCATCAGTCGTAGAGGAACAAGGTTGATGTCTTGAGAGTAGTCTGCATGAGGATCACAAGATCTTGAGTTCATGTCTTTGTCATCAAGTGCAGCAGCTTCGACCATGCCACGAGCAAGGGCCCCGAGAACGTCATTAGCATCTATCCGTACTGATCTGCAGAAGGAGTCCAGGGCGAAAGGAGGAAGAACGGGGATCTCCCCGGCGCGAAGAGCAGAACGGATAGCGACAAGGTCCGATGGAAAGACATGTGCTTCAGGGGGAATAAAATCACGAGGCTCGGGAAGCTGGTTATCATCTGGTTTAGGACCTAGTCGGACAACGGTACCGAGGACGGGGCGCGCCTCGGCACCTTGTGCTTCTAATGCGGAGACAACCCGCATAACTTCTTCGATGACAGCGGAGCGCTCGCCATCATCGCCTCTGACCTGATCATTTTCGACGACGATGACGCTGACAAGTCCGAGTGTCTCGAGGTAGACCATGCCCCTGGCGATGCTATCGAGCTGCTTATTTGTGAACGGACCCTGGAGTTTTACGAGAGCAGTGCGACGGTAGACAGGATTCAAGATAGAAGACAAGATGGGGCTCGGGCTAGGCTTAACCTGTTCAGGTTGTTTATTGACAGATATATCTGGGGCTTCTTTTGGAAATAATGGCATCGAACCATTGAGACCAGTGGGTGGGAAAATAGAGCCGGCATGTTCCGGGACTGGTGGACGAACGCCAAAATTCGCGAGGTAAGATTTAGTATCCCGCAGGGATGGATTGGCCCTCAGGAGGGAGAGAATAAAGTCCTGCTGGAAGGTTAGCTCGTCGTCGAAAAATCAATTAAGACATACACATACATTATCTGGAGGGTCTAGATCATCGACCTCGACAGTGGGCGGAGGCTGACGAAGACTTCGAATGGTCTGCGGCAAATCGGGAGTCAATACATCCGCTCTGTGGGATTAAGCTATACGTACAGCGTAAAAAGCCCTGAAGGTCTGAGTTCGACGTGCTTTCAAGGCTGAAGCTGCAACAGGGGACAAGATACGAGGTCCATGGAGGATAGTATGTGAGAGCATCATGATGATGATTCAACTGGGGATGTGCGATTTTAAGTGGCAGGTAAAATGACATTTAGGAAATCCTGTACATAAGAAAGAAAGATCAGTGGAAATCTATGAAAGGAACGCGCTGACAAGCAGCCATGGTCAAACAAAGCGTCAATGGCTGGCCAAGTCCACGCAGTCATAGGACAACGTCTGGCAAAACTTTCTCGGTCCTATCCAGATCCTTCTAAATTAGGAAAATCTGAATCATCCATTCGGTCGGTCGGAGGTTGCTCGAACGTTGCATAGCAGTGACTCAAGCTGTAACTTGCCACTTCATTTCTTGATTAGAGTCCATCTCTGCCACCCAATCGGCGTATATTCATGAGCAAAACAAACGCATCATGAGACTGAGGCTAAGCCCATCAAGTCGCTTTCATAATACTAATACTGAGGTAACTGAGCTGGGCTGCAAAAATCGCGCCAATCGATGTCAGCGCCTCAGGAACGTTCTGTCCTAACGAAAGTGATAACGGATCTACTCAGCATCTAGCATACCGTGCGTTCTATTCCAAAATATTTATAAAATCCTTTGTTCACGTAGCGCCACAGTGTCACGTATACAGGACTGGCAGGATAGGGAACATGCATCCAATCATGATAACCCAATTAGCAACAGTGTATGGCCATGATAGCGCCCTTGCCAGGCCATGGACGACTTCCAGTGCACATTTCGCTCATAATCATGAATGAATTCTGCAGGCAGATTCATTATTGACGATGAGTAACTAGGCAATATTTCCTGCGACACGAGACGTAATATCAACTTGAATGACTCGGACGTGTTATTTCCACTAGGACGGATCTCATCTTATCATACGGCCATCTCAGGGCTTCTTACACAAGTGGTCCGCAAGCGTAAAGGCACCGACGTAGAAGAATACTCGTTGTTGGTGCCACTAACATGGGTTATTACAAGAGGTACTAACCGGTAATTTGCTGTGATTTTCCTTGTTATGCTAACATTTATTTCTGTTTCAAGACACATCCTGTAGAATATGAAACCTCATTCCGGCATTAATGTGCCACTGCTGGACGCTAGAAGAATCTGTACTTGGTGCTGCCGAGGACTATGGCTTTTGGGAGACAATTACTGTTTGATATGTTTATGATTTGTGTTGACCTACAGGCCTAGTGGGACAGTCACAATATGTGGATGTTGCTTCAATCGGTGGTCCTGGAAGAAGCAGGTATGACGAAAAAGCGTTGCAAGTACGGAAATTAATCTCCACCGCAGTACCACTATTGATGAGCCATTTTCCCGAAAACATGATTCCGATTTTCATAAACGACACCGCTTCGAATACGAAATTTCAGAAAGGCGGAACAGCTGCCCATTTGCGAGGGCACTGCAAGCCTCAAGGCGCCTACGAACATGCTGACTAAGCCACGCAAACCGTGCCCAACAACCCTGCCCATCTGCTCGCTTGGGGTTGGTTGCCCAACTTGATCGCTACGTAGGCTCCTAGCTGCAGGAAGCTTTGCAGATCAAATGCGGCGCTCCGTGCCATACACTAATTTTTTTTTCTATATTATCACTGGTTGCGCCAACGGACCGAGTTCCTCGACTGTCCAGTTCCCTGACTCGTTTTGGCTTATATCACTTGAATATATAGTATTTGTAGTTGGCTGGCTGCTGCGCAATTGGAAATGTAGGGTCCAGGTAGTGTCGACGGGTAGCCTTTTTAAGTGTTTTTTGAAAATCGCAATGGCCTCTTCAGATCTGGAGATCTGCACTGCTCAAAAAGTGAGAATGCGAAGATGCCGATGACTAGACTGCAGATAGAGGTGCGCTGTTAGAGAAGCGTTCGATACGGTAAGCGTGTGGCATGCTTACATCCACCAAAATGAGGCTGTCTTCGCTGCACATGACAGCAGCGAAAAATGGTTCCGGAGAAGAACATGGAGGTAAAGTGCGCTTGACAACCCGGTAGGGTAGGCTCGTGTGGATTTCGTTCGCAAACACTTTGCGAATCACCGTCGTATCATGTACATGATGGCTAATGCCACCTTGAACTTTGGCATCTCGCTTCATTGCGAGTTGGTTGAAGTCCCGTATCTCCAAAGTCTGCGGAGACGTGTGGGACGGTTCAACAAGAGACACGAATTTGGTCCCGAATACGTAGCACACCCAGGCAGAAGGCTGTGACAGAGACTGCATTAAGCGCGTGCCTGTGGGGCCCCACTCATCCCACTTGATATCATGGGAGTGAACCTCCGTAGGAAGGGCCTCGATATGGGAGAGCAAAGTGTTGGCTGAAACGAACATATCGTAAGAGGCGATACGGCCATTATTCACCAAGGAGACTGTCATTATGAAGAGCTTGTCCCCAGGTGCCGTTGAGAAGGGTACTCGAGCCTCTGGATTAGGCTGCCAGGCAGGCGACGGATCAGAGCGGATTGAAAAGGTTAGCGGGCTGGTCCAGAAATCGAAATCGGGCCACAGAAACATGCAAAAATAGTTTGCCCCAAGGCCAAACTTTTCGCTATATGACTGGGTCATATCAAACACGTAGAGGCGAGCCTGTGTGTCTGTAGCCTCGGTATCGAAGACGCTGCCTACTAGCAAAAAGCGACTGCTGAGGAACGCGAATGTCGCAATCTCGGAACTGAAGCATGCCTAAAGATGACGATCAGATAGTGGTGCCACAGAACCTTGAACAATTACCAAAATAACTTTGCCCGTTGTCCAGTCCCATATGGTAAGTTCAGGGTCTGCATCAAGTTCGATGTGTGTGAGCAAGATACCCAGAAGATTATCGCACACTTGTAACGTGTACTCTGCTCGAACGTTCTGTGCATCGAGGTCATGAACGAGAATGGCTGGTTGAGGCGCTAGTGTGTGCCTGTCTCCTGTGGTGAGGGAACGTAAATGGATCCGAATGCTACGGGTAGTAACGTTGGTATTAGGGCTGTAGATGTGTCAGATTTGGTAAATATACAGCATTGAAGTAACATACAGCGAGGTAGGCTCCTCGATAAGCACTAGAAGATCTTGCGCAGGATCCATGGTAAAGTCTCGAACATGTATGTCCAGCGCCACACCCCATGTTTTTTCTTCGATTTTTCTAAACTTTGATGGCAGCTGACGGAAGTGAAGGAGATTTGGCGTGCTAGATTGCGCAAACACGTCACCATATAACTCCCAGATGTGTCCCTGCATCATCGGCGTGTCCTGTGATTCTACCCATCTCAGAGACTCCCATGCAGCATTGCGTTCCTTAAGAAGTGCAAGCCGATCTGAGGTGGTAAAGGGGCTTGGAGGGCCGTCCACCATCCCAGACACAGCAAGCTCGATTTCATATTGAGCTCTATCTCCTTCTAGTATTGAACGGAAGAACGTGCAAACCTGTATGACATGAGTGCGGTCGACTTTCAAGAATATCCTTTGTGCGCACCTCCCGGCAAACCAATATCGTTCTCCAGTCCAGCAAAGCAAAGATCTTGAGAATGAGTTCCACAGGCAGCGATGTCAACATCAGATCATCCTCGTCCGTAGTAAGTATCATGATTACTCAGTAATGATTCAAGTAGTGTGGTAACCGTAGTTCGGCAGCTTGGTCAATCGGATGTGCCCCATACACGTGACCTACAGATCAAAGTTAGCGGTGGTTCTTGTTCTCTTCTCATTCGACCAGTTCTCAGACATATCTTCCTCTCAGGTTGCTGTGGTAATGACCACCGCCCATAGGACAAGATTTCCCACTAAGGTATGCGTGTGTGTTATTACTGTGGGTTTCTCAATTTATTCCGATCCATAAAGTTCTACCAGGAGGATATCGTGCGCCGCATTGACTCGCCAAATGTATATGGAATTGTACTCGTGAGTATGTACCCGCTGGACTCTATACATTGCTCATGGAATTAACAGAGATGCTGGCATGATGCCGAGGACATCCCACCACTCCCAAGTCCATTCACCGACCCCTTAATGAGGTCCCTGGATCGTGGCGAGATCGGGGTCTCATTCTTCCCAGGCGGTGTTCGCGACATCGTCCCGGAGTCTGACTATGAGCTCGTAGATAGAACATTTCAGTCAGGGGATTATTGCAAGCGTAGCGTTGATGATGTTCGTTCTGGCGTGGTGACCAACATTGAGGCACAAGCACGGCTTGTGCACGCAATCAGTGGAGAGCAAGTAGAGCGTTGGAGAGATATCAAGGAGGTCAGACGTGCTACCGATGTTGACGGTGGAGATTATGTGATCTACGATGACTGGATTGGACAGGTGCGCTTCAATGTCTCGCAAGTCGAAATGACATGCTGAGTTTCCACATGAAGGTCATAGAGGTTTGTGCAATGATTACGATACAAAGAAGTGACGATTGATGATCCCCATAGCTATTTGACGAACTACTTGTTTCTGCATCTGGCGCCTTTGTCCGCTTGCCTGAAATTAGCTCTCGTCTGACAATCGGCGACAAGGGGCCGGTAAGTTCCACCTGAGTGTCTACTGTTCTGTGCACTCACTTCGTTTAGGACATTCTACCGAATCCCGAGGTACTTAACGGGCTAGTGAATTATCCTAAAGGAGCCCCACTACCTAGTGCGGATGATACTGTCATAGATATGAAGCGTACGATACTAGCCATCTGCTGGCTAGCGGTAAATCAAAGCGTAGGTCTCTTTATCTCTTTCAGTCCCTTACATTCTTAGCGCATTATGTAGTTGGATCCTAGTGTCGCCCAACTCAAACAGCGACCAGCACGTTTCTGGTCTGGCCAAGATTTGACCAAATTGACGGTCATTAGGATGCGTTTGGATGATGTACGTGTCGGGGATAAGGTTGTGTTGGAGAGGGATGTAGGTGTGCCTGTCACAAGATACGGTGTCGAGTCGGAACCAAGTGGCGCAATGATGATTAAGACCCTGTGCGTGAAGGAGACGAAAACGGTTGTCAATGTTCTTTGGCAAGATGGATCGCAGGAGAGCCTCCCTTCCACAGAGCTGATTCCGTACCTCAATCCGGATGAATATGACTGCTGGTAAGGTTTCTTCACTGTGTTTGATATAGCATTGAATAACACGCGGTTCCTCAGGCCAGGCGACCACGTCTTATGGAAACTCGAGCATGAAGAACACGCAGCCATTGTTCAATCGGTCAATTCTACTGACCGAGTCGCCGTCATTCGTCTCACGAATACTGGCAAGACTGAAACTGTTTCTGTTCTTGAGCTCGATCCCAATGGTGTCAGTGATTGGGCGGCAGGCACTCCGCATACCCATCTCGGTATGCGTCGTGGTGACAAGGTATTCATCCACCGTGAGGGCACCTCAAATGGTTTTGAATCCCCCCGAGTTCCGAGGATTGGCGAGATCGAGGAGTGGGTGAGAGAGGTGCCAGTTAGGCCTAACGGAGAATTCAGCGGTTGGAGGCGGACGATGGCAGATATGGGGACGAAAATAGCGTCCGAACGAAAAGAAAGGCCAACTGTTTTCCGTGTCAAGCATCCAACTCAGGATGATACATCTCTGTCATGGTTTGGAGAGGTCACTGGGGTGAGTTCCCTACCGAATTGCACGATCTGCTTCTGACCTACTACACTTTTGAAGCTTCGTCTTGACGGAACAGTCGATATCACCCATCCAAGTGGATCTACGGCTATCTACCCCCTCTCACGGCTGACAAAGCTTTATGATAGTCTTGAACAATTTGAAGATGATGGCTGGGAGGGTGAAGACGGATCCGATCAAGGCTCTCATATTGACAACGCCGAGGGTTTGTGGCATTTAGATTCAGATGGCACATGGCGCTACGACCATGACGATTCAGAATGGGAAGACGAGGAGGATAGTGATGAGGATGGCGGTGGAATGGACGTGGACACCTGGGCCGACGAAATTGATATCCCGTCGGGCAATAGCATCTCAGATTCTCTGATATCACGCGATGTGGTACCAGACGTGATTGACTCGGTCTCACCGTTCCCAGTCTCGTCGTCCAACACATCACCAGATAGTACCCAAGAGATTATTGTTCAGGAAGATGACGATGGTCATGCCGATTCTCCATGGAAGAAGTTCGAGGTTCTTCCAGGTGCACCCCAAGACCATGCATTTTATTCGTCTGTGTCGAATCAGCCCACGAAGAATTTCCTCGCACGTTTGACAAAAGAGTACCGTGCGCTCTCAACAAGCCTACCAGGTCTGTATCAACAATCGTTCCTCATATTTGCTTCACATACTAATCAAAATAGATTCAATTCTCGTCCGTGCGTATGAGGACCGCGCAGATCTATTGAGATGCCTCATTATTGGACCGGAAAATACACCCTATGAAGACGCACCGTTTGTAATAGATTGGATGCTTGACTCAAACTTCCCCCAAAGTCCACCGATCGCTCACTTTCTGAGCTGGACTAATGGCAACGGTCGCGTTAATCCGTGAGTGATGATGAAGGATAGCGCTGCTCTCGGCTAATCAGGACTCAGAAACTTGTATGAGGAGGGCAAAGTTTGTTTGTCTATCCTCGGGACATGGAGTGGAGATCGCACGGAAACGTGGAGCGCGGCAAGATCTTCACTTCTTCAGGCCTTGGTGTCTATACAGGGCCTGGTATTGGTGAAAGAGCCGTAGGTTTCTGAACCTCGTCTTCTTTTAAAAAGCTCGCTGAGTACTTTTTAGGTGGTTCTGTGAACCTGCGTATGAGAAATTGAGGGGTACTGAGGAAGGCATGGTTAACAGGTGGCGTCCACGCTCATTTCCTCGCATCTGCCTGTGACTCACTCCGTCACATTGTGTTAGCCGACTTTACAGTGAGAAGGCTTATGTCCTATCCCGTGGATTCGTTCGCCGCGCCTTGGAGATTCCTCTCGGTGGGCTAGAAGCAGAGATCAACTGGCTGTACAATACCCAGGGCAGGCTATCCAAAGTTCTAGACGACTCTCGAGCACTAATCCAGAAGAGCCAGTCGGGCTCAGAAAACGCAGAGGCAGATGAAAATCTCGCAGTGCCCCGCCTGACTGCAGGCGGTATCATCATGCTGGAACGAACGCTGTCTAAACTGCAAGCGCTTCTCGACCGGATGTAGGATTTTATCTCTTAATGTCTTCAACTTGTCTTATCATGTATTGGATATTCGAACACGTAATTGTAATCGCAAGTAATCTGAATGAATTCAGATTACACCCAATTTTATTATCTTAACGCCTTTGATTATTCCAAACAACCTCTACAGAAGTATGATATACCCAAATATGCCCGTTGAACATAGGTGCAGATGACATGCGGACCTCTACAGAGGACTCAAACAGTATGGGGGGAACAAATAAGGCACAGAATACGTAAAGAAGTGTGCACGGAGTCCCGGAGGTATACAAGAACGAATGAAATCCTGGAAATGACGGAAAGCAAGCTGGATGATACCAGTCCGACGGTATCAAGGTCCACAGGAACAACAATAAAAAAACGGGCGACCGAATAAGTATATGTACTGCTAGCACCCCGTTGTGAGGTTGTTTTTGGGGAAGGATTGTTGATAACTTGTCCAAGTTGTCAGGTTCGGATTTGTGTATGCCTCAATATACCTGAACGTACGTGCATGAGCAACTAAATCAGTGTCAGTAAAAGTGTAGCGCGTACTCATTGATATATGCAGCCGTCGGGTAATCCTTAGGGTCACAGCCGATGTTGATAGAGCTTGAAGGTTGGTAGACACGAATCCAGTCTATCCGCATGGTAGCTGGGAAAATCAGGTTCGTGAAGTCGACCGTTTGGAAGTTCTCAGAGATGCCCAAGTTGGTGATAAGGTACTACGAAGAGCGTGAGCTAAAGAACAACCCGAGAATAATGTTCTTACCATTGGCTCCTGGGGGATTGGTCTGTCTGAAATTTGAGTCACAGGATCAGCTACCATTCCGCCGGCATCAAGGGTCCACCCAACGACATCATTTGTGATCCAACTGATGTACTGCGTAAAGATAGCGTCAGAAATAGCTATCGGAAAACTGTGGGTTTCACTTACGCCTCCATCAGCTGAGTAACCTGACGACAGTGTTAACTCGTGCAAAACACCAAAACCGATAAATACCTGGCTGATACTGGTATCCATATGTCGAAAAGCAGCCAGTGTTTTGTGTGTAGCAATTCTGGTCTAGAATCTGGTTGGCGACTGAACAGTTACAAGACAAATCTAACTTACTTGTATTCGTGACACCAGACGTGGACTGCTGGTACACACCACCGAGGTACGAGTTGAGTTGGGTGATATCTGGGTTGGGAATATTATAGTTTTCCGACGTGTTGGACCATTGGTACGCATTGTTCATAGGCTGTTTGCATTGTGAGTCAGGACACTTGGCAAAGACCGTCCACGTACAGCCCACTGCGCAGATTGAGAAACTTGACCTTCGACGGTGACCTACAGCTGTTGAGAAGCCTATCAGAATAAAAAATGAACGACCACACCTGTGATTCGAAAACATCAATTTCGGGCGCAGACCGACCAACGTATGTCCCATCCGAGTGCACAGGTCCCGGATGGGATTCTCCTTTGCAAGTGCACCTTGATAAACGCTGGCCAGGGAGATACGAAAGCGCGCCTTTGTTGTATGAGTTGCCAGTAGCAGCTGCCGCTGGTACGCCACCGATCGTCTGGTTGGGGGCTGTACCGACATCGCAAGCATCATAAGAGTAAGGCCACTGACATGTTGGTCAGCCATTGAATTTCGAGCCTGAGAAGGGGAGCCTACCATTCCGTCGAGGCTCGCGCCGTATCCGACTCGTCCTGTGGACTGTCAGATGATGACGCTTTCAAAATACGACGCTACTAACCGAGGTTGCCCATCGACCACACTGAGATCATGTTAGTACGCTCGCAAAAAACGAGTAGCTTCGTTTCATACCTGCCGGCCACAGACCTGGTTGATGGAAGTAAAGGATCAGTAAAATACCAAACAGACAACATAACATTGTACGCACCACTGACGTCATTTGTCCCTGGTAAACTCACTGACGCCAGAACCATACCACCTGTGAAACAGAACTTATTCCACGTGGAGATCAATCCACTCGTGAAACTCAAATTGTTCATCTCCCTTTCAGATAGGGTGATTTCCAACGAGCCATTTCTGGTCGTGACCTGGTCAGGGTAATACCATTCAAGATCATTGGTCTAATAACAATTTATATTTCAGCTAAAACCAATACATGCGGAAGTATATGATTTACCTGCCAATAATGAAGGTTTACAGCCTCCCAATATGGGTCATCTCCAGGCCAGAAGGTCCGGCCTTCTACTTCGAATTCATCGCTGAAAACTAACTGCCATTGTGAGGAATCTGCAAAGGACGTGTAGGTATGGGCGGATGATGGAGTATCCACGTCAATAAGACCATAATTATTTGTCATAGTGGGGATCTTTGGGGTGGTAATAGGTATGTGTAACTTGATGAGAAGATGTGAAGACTTGCCTGTCCGCTCGCATTAATACCACCAATGTTGAATCCACCCTCATTTGAAAGAGAATTCTTTGTAAAATAAGATATCATAGGGTATCCAGCACTGAAGAGTATGTCAATCCAAGGGACTAGGTTGATATGGAGACTGTTGGCGTACAATAGGGTAACCATTCCGACAGCAAGGAGAATAAGGCAGCCAAGGTTGGTTAAACCTCTGTAAGTGAAGACAGAACCACCACGGTCATTCTTGCGGTCTCGCTTCGGATCCGGATTATGAAGCTCGTCGTCTGGTTCTTCGAGGTTCATGGCAAGAGTAGCACCCCATGAGGATGGATCAGGAGAGAGGGAGAACTGTATTAAATAACGCGTTAGGGATCGAGGAGACGCAGCTGAATTGTATATTAGCGTATAAGTACCTTCTCAGATATTGACTGTTCTTGGAGAGACGCTGTCCGCCCAGCACTGCTGTAAGGTGACTCGCTCTGGAAGGGAAGTTCAGAACACATTGCGTGAATGAAGTTGACGACGAACAAGACTGTTATAGCTTTGCATACTTCTCAAGGACTGGGGGGCTCGAGCAAACGCGGCCTGCACGACCCGGGAGCCTCCTTGAGATTGAAGAAGAGTTGTTGTTGAAAGAGCATTGGAAGGAGTTTGAGAATAAAAACGCCTTTGGCCATCAGAAGCCATCTAAAGGCAAAATGATTGGATTGAATATAAAGAGTGGTAAGGATTGTATTGAGGGGGACTACTAAGTGTTACAGTTGGTGATTTGAATTTTGCAGCGGGAGGGAGGGCGGATGAACGGAGACAGACCCAAGAATCTTGATTTGTCGTGGGAAGTAACCGGCACCCCTGACAGGGGATATTGTCTTAAAATAATATATCTGATGGTTCACAAAACGGCGTGGTCCCCCGTCTTACGACGACTGTCCAATGCCCGCGCCTTCTAACAAACCAAGCAGGCCGCCACGACCTCCTAGCAACCCAATTTTACCAAGTTCATCAGCAGCTCTCTCCACACGACGTAATCCAGTCCGCTCTCCGCCTTCTCCCCCAATCTCCATTCCCTTTGCTGCCGCCTCCTCATCAATTTTTTGTAACCTGCTCACAACCCCTAGGTTTGCTCGTTCCAAAGCCGCTCGTCCAAGTCCTTCAGTCGTCACATACGGATAATCGGGCTCGAGCTTCTCTAGCAACTCCGATTTTTTTGCCCGGTAATTGTTCCGTGTCGTGCTTGGCGGATGTGAAAGTAGAATATGCGTAGTGACAGGTTGTGGAGCCTCGGCACTTGTAGCACGAGGTGGTTGATATGTATATGCAGTTTTGTCTAGCCACTTGTCCAGCGCAACGACAGCGTCCTTGGATTTCTTCACCTTGTCATGCTTCGACGGTCGACCTTTCTTCTTGGTTGCACTTGTGGTAGCATAAGCTACCTGTTCGTACCCATTCGTGGTGTCTGAGACAAATTTTTCCCTTGGCAATTCTCGCGGATTAAGCGGATACAAATTAGACGGGGGGGAGTATGTGAAAGAACTGAGCTTTTTGCAAGGCGGAAAGTACATATATTACGTGGGGTCTTAAAGGGCGCATGAAATCCGTTTCGAGGACGTCGGGAAGCTTCAGTAAAGACTGATACATGTCTGAGACCCAGTGAGATATCCGATCTCAGAACACAAGAGCAGCTTACCGATTGTCATGGGAAGATGGGTGATAGCATGCAACGGCGGAGCTGATGTTGTTGGCTGAGTTGCAAAGAACGTGTAAAGGCCGAACAGAGCAGCAGCTCTAGTAAGAGGATACTCGGATTCCGCTAACCGTTCTGTATACGATATGAGTATGTCCTCAGGAGTTACATTATAATCCTACCTGAGAAGAGTTGCATTGTGACTTTAAGAAAAGCATCGCGAGATCTGGCATCAAAAACCTTGAAATGCAACCACGTCCATCCTTGGTTGTTCCAGATATCCTTGAATAGCACAAAAGGCTGAGGAAGCGGAGACCTAGCATATCGCTCGGCATAGACACGAACAAGATGGTCAATATCTTCGCGAGCAGGGTCCACAAACAAGGAGCATGTGAAATATGTGGGCTGCAGGACCACTTGACCTCTGGGTGTTGTGTGCGTTGGGGCCAGTGACATTGTCCAAAGACCACAGAAGGACCAAATTTCCATTCTTGTCAGTTTATAAACAACTGCAATTTCATCTAACACAACGCACTCCTCCAGGCTTAAACTCAAATGGCACCTCTCTTTCGTCACACTAGCAGTACAATCTGCTTTTTCTGTAGGTCTGCCATAAAGCCTGCACCGCCAGATCAGCGATCTTTCCGCTGTCCACACTGTGACTGTTGGAACCGCTATGATGCGAACGGCGAAATCATGTCAGATGAACCTGCCATGCACGACGAATCCCTGAACTCAAAGTCCTTTGCAAAGCGAGGTAAGCTTCAAATTTATCGTTGCTCTTCAAGTTCTAATTTATCGACAGCCTCTCCCAGCAAGGACCGCCTGCCGTCCATGTACGGAACCGGCCAGTTCTGTCATACATGCCAGACAAACCAAATGCTCTTGGTTAACCTTCTCTCAAACTACCTACCGCCACCACATGTGGGAACCGCCCTTTTTACACACGTTTTATCACACTAAGCCTCATGAACAGCATCCGGACTATGCGCAGCGTTTGGAGAAACTTCCAGAATATCGTGAATCGTTGCACGTCCGATATCCTCCGGTGTGTGCCAACTGCATGCCTGCTGTCGAAGAGGAGATCCGGAAGAAGGACCATATGGCTCGGACAAAGGCACTGGGTGGATGGTTAATTGACAGCAGAGGCAAGGAGAAGCAGAGACAAGTTACGGGATCCAGCAGGGAGAGAGAAAAACTCCAGACACATTTGTTTCTGTGGAGACTAAGAGGGTTTCTATGGTTTATGACGTTGGCGGTAGCTGTTGTCGTTCACTTGTCTGGTACGCCAACACATTCTCACAGTTCTGCTTCACCATCCATCATATCTGATTCTCATGCTGCAGTGGTGTTAAAACTCCATTTCCCCGATGTTCTAGGTCATGCGCGACAGGTTCTTCCTCTTATCGCACTATGTAGTCTATTTTGGACTGCATGGGACCCGACATACTACTCCTTCCGGAAGGCACGAATACAAGGTCGCGATCTCCGCGTTCACGGCAAGAAACATTATATTGTCAGTCCATGTGGTAATCAGAGTTTAATTTACTGATGCACCACCAGATTCTGCAAATGACCGCATGGTTCTCCAGATTGCTATCATCTATTCTTCTCGCACTGTCATTGCACTCGCCTTCTCGGGATTACTTGCATCTTTCGCGATATCCAGCATCATCACGAACGCATTACTATTGTCTAATATCACTCATCGCTGAAGTATTCGTAAGTGTAATTTCACCTTCTCCCTTCTTTCATATTCACGTGCCGCATACGCTTAGATCTGTGCTACCTCATTCGTCGCGCTGCGCGTACAGAAGCCTCCGCCGATTCGTTTAATTGATACCTCTAGCCACCAGCATCTAGCCGCCGCCTCTGCGCATCCTACACCTGAGATTTCCCCTCGTCCATCACCTGCACCCCATACGCGAACCGCTAGCGAACCAGACCTCCTCGCATCCCTCTCACTCTCATCAAATCCCGTAATGTCTCCCAGTAACCCGATATTCGGCCTTCCTTCTCTTATGGCATCCAACTCAACATACACGGGCTCTCAAAATAAGGATGAAGATGACGATGACGATGCTATGGACTGGACCCCTACGGTTCCTTCCCCCGCAAAGTCGAGGAAGATCCTTAATGACGATGATGACGGTTCGTGGGTCAGGCCACAGCGCTTCTTCCCTCCAGAGCGGCCGACGGGCCTGGAGTCCTTGTTCGCAAGTACCAAATTGGACGATAGAGATCAGAAGCCTTCATCTGCTGCACATCCCACTCATACACGGACTACCCTAAGCGTGTTTGTGGTGCGCTGGTGGTGGGCAGGCGCCACGTTGATCCTAATCCCTCTTGCGGCTTTAGGGTTCAATTTCTGGCAAGGAATGCCAACGATACGAGAGAAATTGACTTAGCTCCGACTACGTTGTGTAGATTACAGTATATTCATTTGTGACCTGCACAAAGCGCATGTTTCATTCAGACAAAAATGAGTACCCGACCATGCAAACGAACCAACCGCACTGTTTGACCAGTAGTGCCTAACACCAAGAACACAAGAATAGCAACGGAGGGAATAAGTACGATGGTAAAGGAATGGAAATGCGATGATTTGGGGTATGGACGCGAAGAATATAAGCATAACGTTTGTCGTCTAAATCCGCATATGTAAACGAGAATGAGGCGAATGCATGGTTCAGCAAGCGGATGTTATTAATTGATACGACAGAATAAAAAGGGGAGCAATGCAGGAATTGGATGCATATCCACTCTACGAGAGAAAATTTATTCTCCGCGCCTTTTCTCCTGGCTCAGTACCCGTGCGTGGCGTACCCGCCATGGTGAAGCGGAACGCCATACTGGTCAGACTTGTAACTCGGTCCACGCGCGAGTTCCTGCATCATGGGCTGAGGACTGGGACCACGCGCAAGGTCAGCGTAACCGCCAACAGGTGCGAGATGGGCAGGCCCTGGGGTGAAATCATGATCAGGAATTGGGTTAAGTGTCGTTGCACCAATGCCGGCGTGGCCGGAGCCTGAGTGGAACGATGATGCGGTGGAGTTACGGCGGTTCAGACCGGGAATACCACCATTGTCATCGTTGTCGTTACTCGGCTGCCAGTCAATAGGTTGCATGCGATCATCGAAGCTGGAGGATTTGCCAAACTTCCACTTGCGAATAATGGTCCAAATGATGATGGAACCACCAACACTTGTAGCAATGACAATGAGGACGATGAGGGCAGTGTGCGTGATACCGGTAGAAGAAGAGGACAAGGAAGATGGTGTGGCACTTGCACTTGAAGAAGCGGTGTTGGTGACAAGTATCACTGATTGGGAGGTGGGAGAGCCCGCCTGTACAGGTGTGACATCAATCGCAGAAGGACTGGATTGAATAGTTTGGATAGTTGGTGGTGTTAACGATGTTGACTGGGTGCTCGTTGGGGAGGTAGAAGATGAAGAAGATGTCGACGAAGAAGTCAAGCTCGTCGTCGCCGTTGTCGATGAAACTTGACTAACGAGACTTTGCGATGTGCTAACAGATGTCTATCGACGCAGTTTCAGCTGCTGCTTCTCTAGGGTAAATAGGATGAAACTCACTACAGTGGCAGAGGACGAAGAGGTTGAAGGTGTTACAGAAGATACGGGTGTGCTATCAACTGTAGTTGCCGTTGGCGTGGACTGCGTTGCCGCAGCAGTGGTTGCAGTCGAAGGATCAGCGCCTACTCCGATGACAGGCTGAGGACTAAAACCGCCAATCTGGGGCCCAGCTCGCTTCTTGAGGAAGCGGTTGTGGCTGACTTGATGATTCGGGTCGAATGCTTTTGCGTCCGAGGCAATGACCAAGGAAAGAACGAGTGTCGTGTAGAAAAGGAGAGAAAGTTTGGGCATCTTCACTAGATTTTGTCGCGCGTACGTGGCGTGTTTGAAAAGAAAAACTCGAAGCCTAAACTAAACCTTGGTGACTGGCTAGAATGTCGAGATTGAGATCACAGATAACAAGCGAATAAATGGACCAGCCGTCGATACAGGACAGTCAACGTCGGGTTTGAACAATTGAAACAAGTCAACAAAATGGAACCACTTTACAAGCGCTAGAAGGTACTCACTCGGTGAGGTAACGGTTCTCTATCCGATTCAGAATCACGTAGTTCCAAGCAGAAAAGACAGATAAAAAAAGGAGCGTCGTTCAAGTTTAAGCGTAAATGAGTGAAACCTTGTGGTGCGGCAGACAGAAGACAGAACGTATTTGGGCTGTCAAGGAAACCAACTAGTGATATTGTCAGCCACCCACGCACCCTATAAGCATCCGAAACTCAAACATTCGTATAACTACAACACGCGTCCTCGATCGTAAATTATCAATGCTCCGACAGCACAACGGAGGAAACGATACGTAGGTTAATCAGCGAAGCTCCGTATGTAAGGCGAAACAACCAGCAACTCAAGAAATATCCAATTTTCTTTGCGAACATCCATTATCGCATAACAACAAAAGCGTCCGAGGAAAATGTAAACTAAGAAGGGCTTGTCAACGACCACTGGCTCAGAGGCACAGCGCCGGGAGTAGTGTATGAACTCGATGACATTCCTGGCCATTGTGGGTTAATGAGCACCTCCAACGTGTACGAGCCAGCAGGCAGACTGATCACCAGGACAGTCACACCATCATTAGGCTGATCAGGTTGTGGGGGAATGGGATCAGTAGGGAACCGAACAGCACTCGTAGTGGTGAAATTTGCGCCAGATGGAGGATTGAGCAGTTGAACAATGGTGGTCGCAGAACCGATGGTAAGTGTGGCGGTGAGGCCATCTGAACTGACGAGAACAGTTGCGTTGGTGTGTGCTCGCCACATAACGGAGGCTGAAGCGTTGATCTCATCCTGAATGAGTACCTGCTTGCGTCCATTGATCAAGTGGACACCGCGAGAGAACGAAGTACTGCGATTGATCATTAGTGCAAGTTCCGTATACGAGCATAAGCAAACATACACGTCGAAATATGCACTCGCCAGGTCCGCAATGAAGTAGGCACTGGAGTTACCAGGAACATTCATCACAGTACTGGACCCTTGAACATCAGCCGTGGTACCATACGTGACAGTCGGTGCAGCGGCGACATTTTGGTTTGACTGGTTGACTAAAATGGTGTTCTGCCCCTCCGTCATTTTGCGGTAGTACATCCATCGCTCGCTGATCTGAGAGTCGTTGCTGAAATAGCCTATTGAATTGTAGTCCCCAGACCCCAGCTCTCCAAACCAACGAACACCAAGAGCATCGACGACAAAGTCGCCGCAGTCAAGGTCGTTGTGTGTCTGGTGTCCCTGCAGCGTGCCTGCTTTAACGGCAACATAAAGAGCGTTCTCGTCTGTCCAGCTAGATCGCATGGAGCCCCATTGATCAGTGCTGTTATCAAAGAAGTGGTCAAGTGCTAGACCATCCCAGAAAGCACCGGTAACAGCAGGGTTGTACCAGAACATGCTCCATGGTTCAGCAGCGTCGAACTGATCACGTTGGAAAAGCTGGTACTGCGGCATGTTATACTGCTCGCCGTAGAACATCATGGCATTGGCAGTGGTGGAATACTTGTTTGGACCACAATCACCGTAGTTGAAGAGGGAGCCGGGGCCGGACACATACATGTGGTATTGGCCGGTCAACTGGAAGTCAGGATTGACGGACAGAAGATCGTATGAAGAACCGGTAGCAGTCAACAACGAAGATGCCATCTCGGCATGAGCCGTAGTACCGAAGTACCAGTAGTTGGCAGTCTCAGACCACGTGCCGTCGCTCGAAGGAGCCAAAGCACAGTTCTGGAGGGCATCGGGGATGGTCAAGGCAAGAAGTTGTGTAGCGATACCCGTGGTGTCATCACCGAGGATAGCAAGTGCACCCATGGTAAGACCATTGTTACAAACACAGTTCCAGTTGCCCTCTGTGCCGGTGTGCCACCAGCCATAAGCTTCCGGGTCGTTGTTACTGTAAGCGATAACCCCGTTACTAAGGCCGTACGTGATCATAGTGGCCATGATCGAGCTTCTCTGAGCAGGTGTCCACGCATTATACAGCCAGTCATAAGCGATAGCGTAGGCTGCAGTGAGCTCAGCAGTGTCGAGGAAGTGAGTTGGGTTCCATTTCGTGGAATTATCAGGGCCCCAACCGCCAGTCAGATTACCAGCTGCATTCTATAGTCGTGGGGCGTCGGACATCAAGCTACCTCAAAATAGGCTAGAAAACATACCTGCAGCTCGACGTAGGTGCGATCCAACCACTTCGTGTCATTGGTTAAGCGGTATACGTAGGAGAATGCTTTAACACGTTGTTTGATCTCACGAGCAGGATCCAAAATGCCATTACCGCCATCCAAGAAATATACGACGGGAGGCAGGGCATAGTATTGTGTTGCATTGCCGAAAATAGTGTTATTCCAACTGGAAAGATAGGGATCATTTTGGATGAGGTTGGGAAGGGAATCCCACATGTATGTAGGAGCGATGAGGCGAGGCCTGTCAGAACGAACTTGGGTTGGGCTGGGGTTGGATGGTTGGAAAGGATCTTGCGGCCAGGCAATATTAGTGTCGGTGGTGGAGACAAATGTGGGAGTAGTATATGCGGCAGTGTTGGTCTACGGGATTTAAGCAATCAACACCTCGAGGACGATGCAGTAAGCAAACATGACTCACGGTCATTGGGTATATGGGTACTAAGTACTGGCTGTCTGTTGCTGTAGCGAAAATACCGACATCATTTTTTGCACCGATGGCTGAGGTGGCAGCAGCGCTAGCTGCCGCAGAGCTCGAAGCCGAAGCATTCTTGCTTGAGCGACTGCCCAAAACGCCACCCAAAACTGCGCCAGCGATAACGACAACAGCGACGGGTACGCCGAACTTCACCCATTTACTGATTGTTTTCTTGGGTGAGCGAGCGGGTGTGATGTACCCTGACGACTCATTGTAGTACGGGTCTCCAGACCCGTACGGTGAATTTCTGGCCTGACTACCCAGTGCATCATAATTTGTCGCCATTGGTGCAAACCGGCCTGGAGGTGAGGCCGAAGAAGGAATAAAAGAGAGACTGTAGGTGGGGTGTTGACAAACAAAAACTAGTGAACCGAAGAAGCGAGCGTTGAAGGTGAGAATAGGAACGACAAGAAGACACTTGCATGCTTTAATATAATACAAATTTAGACAACGGCATCACGGCTGTAGCCTAACCCATAGATACCGTCTAGACTCTACATACAAAAAAATTTCAGACCTCCCGAACAAAGATCGCCGCTGCACCCATTCCAGTCCCAATACACATAGAAGTGACCAACACCTGCATTCCAATTGTCAAACGTAGATCAGTTGAATGAGGTAAATTTTCATACTTTTCCCTTTCTCCGATGGAGCTCATTTAATCCAGTGACGATCTGTCTCACACCGGTGCAACGTGATCGAAGCAATTTACATCAGCGTGATGTAGTAGATATACAATGTATAAAATTTACTCATCTAATGGGTGGCCAAAGGCTATGGCACCTCCGTTAACATTCACTTTCTCTGGGTTTAGACCAAGCTCCCGGATGCAGTAGACGTACTGCGAAGCAAATGCTTCGTTAATCTGTATGTACAGCGATTCAGCATGCATCTCCTGACAAGTTGCCAGCAGCCAAACTCACTTCATATAAGTCAACGTCTTCTGTGCTCAGTCCAGCGTTTTGAAGAACCATGGGGATGGCAAACACGGGGCCAATGCCCATCACACGAGGAGGGCAGCCTCCGAATGTTTTAGCAAGTAAGTGCTTATTCTGGGGATTTCCCTCACCTGCAACTGCGGTAGTGATATGCTTGCCTAGAATTTTAAGCCCAAGCTCATCCGCCTTACGCCGAGTCATCATCATGATTGCTGCTGCACCATCAGTGATTTGGCTTGCGTTTCCACCCGTCGTGCATGATTTTCCCCACTGAGGGAACGCTGACCGAATCTTCAAAAGTGCCTCCTTTGTCGTCCCGTAACGGATGCCGTCGTCCTTTGTAACTACAATCTTCTTCCGTTCACCAGTGGTAGGATCTTTCTCGTAAACAGTGAATGGAACAATCTCCTTTGCGAAGTAACCGGCTTTCTCAGCGTATTCAGCTCGTTGATATGATTTTGCCGAGTATTCGTCCATAACCTCCCGCGAGATATCAAAATCTTGAGCAACATTCTCGCTGGTCCAACCCATGGGATGAAGACAGTCCTTAGCAGCAGCGTTTACTCCAAGAGCCTCGGACTGAGGAGGAGCACCTTTGTCAGGGCTTGCACAGTTGAGCTTCGCAAGATAAATTCGATTTCTTGACATACTTTTGGGTCATGGACTCAGCACCGACAGCAAGTCCAATCTCGATCTGACCAGAGCGGATTTGATTTGAGATGACAGTTGCTGCCATGAGACCGGAGGAACAGAAGCGGTTGACGACTTGAATTGGTACGGATTCCGGGAAACCAGCTGCCAGCGCCGCTTCTCTGGCATGATAAACCGGGTCGGGGGTGAGCACTGTGCCTACACAGATGTCACCAACAACACATGGATCGACATGAGACTGAGCTATTGCATGCTAAAGGCCTGCTCAGTGACGATGAAGTATGTGTATTGAATCATTCTGGATGTACCTTGAACATCTCCAGCAAAAGCTCGTCCGTCCTGCCAAAGAAGTCGGACATGAATAATATCCTCAACGACGGTTCATACTACTCACATCGTGTCTTTCAGAGCACCTTTCCTCGCTTTGGTCAGTGGAGAACGGATGGCCATTGTTATGACGACATCATCTGGATGTTTCTGCTCCAAAGCAGTCAAGCCCGTAGATGGGGCACCCGTAAGATGCGAGGAAAGCTGTCGCAGGCGTTGCAGAGCCATAGTAATAGTAAGCAGGTTTGAAGAGGCTCTCCTAGACAGCAAAGCAGTAAACAAGCTCTTGCGAACGTCACCTGAAAGCCGGAACCAGTCCAGATGGGTTCAACTTGATTCCCAAAGCATCCGTGCCAGGGAACTAGGCCTACTAGGGGGGGTCGGCGTTGCCGACGTGGACCTTGCTCCGCGGTTTACTGTTATTTGTTGTTGATTGAAATGTGAGCAGCAAGAACATTCTTGCACATATAATACCCAATCTAAGATGAGCTCTATAGTTTCTCTAGTGACTAAATTGATGTAGCGACTGTTTTTGCTATGTTCATAAATATACCGTGTTTACGCGATGATGGTCAGTAGTGTCAATTAACAGTATCAATCTAGTCCCGGCGTCCCGCGACCCGGCTTTTGAAACGACAAAGTCATCTCTCACGCCAGCCCTTCGCCCGAGATACTGCGAGGTTCTTTTTCGTTCTATTCATGCCAAGGTCCTAGTAGAGCTGGTCTCACAGGAGAATGGTTACCTTGGGTGCGTGAGACGGTCAATTAACTCGTTTGATCAAGTGATTACTTACGATTTGGAGCAGTGTTTTTTTTTGGTTTCTTCTGCAAGTCGTTCAACGTCCCCGTTTCTCTGCATGGCTAGAGTCCCGAGGGTGCACCGCAAATGGACGAGGAAACTCGGGACTGGCCTATTCCTGAAGAATTCATGGGTGAACTTGACAAGTTGAAGTACAGTTAGTTTTCAAGCTGATCCTCTTCTTCTGTATCATGATGGCCATCTCATTGAACCTCAATGACCTACGATGGCCGATGGGACGTGAATGTAAGTAAGCCACCTTGACAATGATGACCGGTGCTCCAAGACTATACATACTTAGGGAAACGCACGGGTACGGGTAACACCGCGGTTCTATGCTGACGGGTTTGGAGGGTACGGGTACGGAGTAGGATAGTCGTACCCTTGAGCATACCGTGGCCATTCACCGCGGGTTGACGGTGTTTGGGCGGGTATAATATACCAAATCGGGAACCAGGCGCGCGACAGCCATTGAACACCGTGTTTGATTCTCTGTTTTTCCTTCCTCTGAGAGCTTGAGGATCACAAGTGAATGCTATACTGATTTCTGTCATGTCTTTTGTACCCCCGTGAATCATTCTAGCAATTTATTGAGCTGACACTTCGTTGCAGAGAAGCTCGAGTCACTACCATAAAGCCAAGGCAAAAACTCGAGACCAGTAAGTCCACTGAGTCGTCTCCCCATGAAAACTAAGCTCACAAAGAAGGCATCTGATGCTTCGTCTACCCAGTCACACTCATCATCTAAGTACATTGCCGAGAAGCTCGTTCGCGAAGAGTTTATTGATAAATACGAGAAATCTGCCGAGATTACTGATGACATTGAAGCAGACACAGTCCGTATGCAACATTTAATTTTGCACTGACACTGACAACTATACAGAACGAGGATGACTTTGGTGACTACTCACTTGGTTCCATGTCTCGTACTACTAGTAGCGAGTTGGATGAGTTTCTTCGATTACCAACTGTGAAAACCAAGGACCCACTCGCATGGTGGCAAAACAACTGCCGTGCTTATCCAATGCTGCATCGGATGGCACTCGACTATCTCTCTGTCCCAGGTATGTCTCCTTCGAATCCTCTTTCAATCAATCAATACTTATTATCTTGCTCAGCAACATCAACTGCGGTTGAACGTGTCTTCTCGCAGGGCCGGCAGCTCCTTCATTTTACTCGCAACCGACTCGCACCATCAACAATTCGTGCCTTTCTCTGCCTCGGAGCGTGGGGCAGAAGTGATCTTCTGGTGATGGAGGACCTTTTAGCCGCTGTCAGGACTCAAAAACGGAAGCGAAATGAAGTCGAAGCAGAGGAGAATGACAAGGAAAAGTAGTACTATTTTATTTCATTGTTGTTAATACTTAATACACTCTTCTTGGTAATGTACCCGCGGTGTTCAGAGACACCGCGGTGTTTTCCATAAACCGCGACATTGACGGGTCGGTGTGTACCCGTACCCGTGAAGGGTACGGTGTTGGCGGGTGCGGGTGCGGTGTCAACTTTCCGACCCTCGGTGTTACCCGTGCGGTACCCTATACATACTTGAGCTCGTGTTCGAGAGATATAGCTGCAATGTACATGGAATTGTACAAGCGCCATGTATCAACAATATTGGTTTCAAGCTGAAAGATTGGGCGCATATACCTGCCGATCTGGCGCAATGACCGACGGCGACAAACTTTGTTATCACTGCTCACAAGAGGTGCGTCCCGTCGGTTGCAGATCCTGAGTTGGAAAAAAACAGCGCGATAGGCCTAGATTTCTCGGGTGGATATCCACTTCGTGCCCTGGACGTGGGACGCCAGATAGAACCGCCTGCAATGCCACCTTTGAGGTCATCAACCTCAGCATTAGGCTTGCTGACATCGAAAAGCCGGATAACTTGACGAGACGGGGATGAGAGGGGACTGAGATAGGCATATGCTATACAATGTATCGTTAAACGCCGATGACGATGTATTTCAGTTGCGCAGATATCGCAACGAGAGGTGGCGACTCGGCCACCGTGCCTGTTGCAAGAATGAGTACATCGTTGGATTGTCCATTCCACTGAGGTCCCACCTTTGTTGTGATCCAACAGAAGACCGACTTCAGCAGCTCTAGGATATCGCATCCTCCAACTCAGGGCGTTGTCTCCAAGCCTCTGGACATCAGCCCCCAGTGATCCGGACTGTTTGAAAGTCATAACGCCTTCTTGGAACAGACATCTCAACCGTATTCGGTGTTGTTGCAATGTGCCGCCAAAGCTATATCACCAGGTTTGTGGAGAAAGATGGAACGTGGCTGGTGTCAGTGATTGGGAATTCAGGGAGGTTTGTCGCCTACTGAGACACAATAATGTATGCCTTGCGCATCAGATGGATATACTAGTATCAGCGGAACGACGAGCACCTTCGAGCAGTTGAGTGGGGGGAGACAGTTTGACACTGTGTTGGTTCCATGTTGACGAACGAGCCCCTTCGAGCAGTTGAGTGGGGGGAGACAGTTTTACAATGTGTTGGTTTCATGTTGACGGGGATAGTAGAGTGAAGTTGTGTCAGGAAATTCACTTTCGGGCCTCAGCGAGGGTAATGCCGGAATCACATATATTTCCGCCTCCTACTGTATGGTGATGTAGATACTACCCTATAGTAGGGGCTCGGTGCTGTGCGCTACGGTGTACAGGTCGGTGTTGGCCGGGGCACCAATGGAAGAGGGGTGGAAATCATGGTGGTTGGTACCAGTGATTGCAAAAGTTCTGGATAGTTTCCCGTATAGTGGGAGACACAGTAAAATGTACGACTTGCATACGAGATGTGTGTCGAGCATCGGCGAGTCGGAGATGACGAGTGCGTTGGAGGAGTTGGCTGGGTAGAGGGAGATGTATGATCTGAGGCGCAATCTAGCATATGTTGATACATTGGCCAGGCAGAAACGAGGATCAAAATTGTAAATGATGAGATGCGACTCGTGATCACAAATGAGGCTTGGGGCGCTTCTGCAGCACAGTATATGCTGTATGCTGTGAAGTGAACACGAGGATAATGCATGGAAGACATACTAGTACAAGCTCAGACTTCCAGTGCACACTCGACCTATATGCGTTGGGTCAAGGGCACCATTCATCTGCCGGGCGGACAATGGATGATGACTTTAAGGTTCAAGAGACATGCTCACAAGGTAATAATTCAGGCGCAAGTAGGGCAAGAGATATTGATCCGGTTAAGATGGCGAAGAAGACATTTACAACCTGTCCAATTATGCGTTAGCTGTCGACCAATCACAACACAAAAACGGGAGTAGACCCTAGCCCTCATTTATGAGGGTAGTTCCAAAACCGAACGCTAGCGCATATCCATCATAGTTCACAAAGAAGAGGTAGCCTAACCATACACCTTGCCAAATATTTTATGTGTCCCGAAAGCCTGCGCGGTGCGAATCATGGATATGACCTCTCCTGCAAGACTACCTGCCTCAGCAACATGCGTTAAGGACAATCTGGTATTGAACGGAGATCAGAGCTTCAGGACGAGGTCAACAGCAAGTACACTCACTGCATGTATTTTGATAGAATTTTTTTCATGACGCCGCCTATGATTGTGATGCATAGAATCATCGACGACAATGCAACCATGACAGAGTATATGCAAGAATAAAGCCAGCGACAAATGAGCTCACCTAGAGTCTCGAGATAGATTGATAATCATAGGAGAAAAGGAATAGGAGCTAAATAAAACGTCAGCGTACAAGAGTCCCCTATTAAAACTCCAAGACACGTACTATCACCATGACTAGCGAAACTAAATCCGTCGCCGCTGTATACTGCAGCAACTTTGACAACAGCAGATTCGTCTGCATCAGAATCAAGCAATTCAGTAATGGTCATTTCCAACTCCTCGACAGAAACGACTACTTTCAACCTGAGGTAATCCTCGACGAGCATACCATCTGGATGAATCGCAAGTATAAAAAGCCGGCGAAATTCCTCGTGCTGTATGACCGTCGTAAGGACAGCGATGGGACCAAAAAATACCCTTACATGGTCTTGAGAGTTGGAAAAAACGACCTGCTCCAGGACGTGACCACTGACCATAAAGCAATTCTTCAAGTTATTGGTGGCTCATTCCATCGCCAGGTAAGCACACTAGTATTGATTAACATCGGAAATGATAAGAGGACATTAGAGCAACGCGCCGAATAGTGTACGGCGAATTTCGAATCTTCCGACATTCACAGGGTAAATTCACAATGCGCCCTCTGAGAGGCCCTCAGATTCACCAGCGTAAATTACGGTAAATTTACAAGGCTGTCAATCAACGCTAATTTACCGTGAATTTGAACAGTTGTACGTGAATCACTCCCACAGGTTTCAATCAGAAGGAGCAGGTAGAGATCCGGACGAGCTTTTGACCGCAGTCTTCATCAGGAAAACTACATATTACTTAATGTTCCCTTAATAAGGTCAGAGTCGCTGAAATCGTGAACAAAGTCCAATTCAAGTCCAGAACGAGTAAGAACACCGCGCTTAAAAAAATTAGATCCGTTTTCTTATGTTTGAGCTTAGAGTTGTCTTAACGCGCTTTGCAAAACAAATGTCGAGATTGTCCAAAATGGTAATGGCCAATGTATCATCATGTGCTAAATTGCCCCTCAGATCATACATCTGCCTCTACCCCAACTCTACCCAGCCAACTCCTCCAACGCGTTCGTCATCTCCGACTCACCAATATCAATGCTCGACATACATCTCGTACGCAAGTGGTACATTTAACCGTGTCTCTCACTTTACGGGAAACTTTTGCAATCACTGATACCAACCACCTTGATTTCTCTTCTGTTAGCGCCCCAGCCAACACCAACCTGTACACCATAGCGATGCGCAGCACCGATTCCTACTATAGGGTAGTATCTACATTACCATACAGTAGGAGGCGAAATTCTGACATTGGCCTCGCGAGGCCCGAAAGTGAATTGCCTGATACAACTTCACTCCGCTATCCTCGTCAACATGGAATCAACAGTGTAAAACTGCTCCTCGAAGGTGCTCGTCGTTCCGCCGATACTCGTACCCTGGGCGAAAAACCACCCTGAATTCCTAATCATTGATACCAGCCACGTTCCACCTTTCTCCACAAACCTGGCGGTATAGCTCTGGCGGCAGATCGCAACAACACCGAATGTGGTCGAGGAGATGTCTGTCCCTAGAAGGCGTTGTGACTTTCAATAGTCCGGATCACTGGGGGGCCGGTGCTGATGTCCAGAGGCCTGGGGACAACGCCCTGAGTTGGAGGATGCGATATCCTAGAGCTGCTGAAGTTGGTATTTTGTTGGATCACAACAAAGGTGGGACCTCGGTGGAACGGACAATCCAATGATGTACTCATTCTTGCAACAGGCATGGTGACCGAGTCGTCGCCTCTCGTTGTGATATCTGCGCAACTGAAATACTGTGGATGATAGTGATGGAAGGGTCCGGTTCAGTCCGGTTCACCAGGAAAATCAGCAAACGCTGAACTAGACGTTGCATTCAGTTCGGCAATTTTGCTGAATGCTGGACCGAACGTGTCCGAGATGCATGCGAAAGAGGCTTGAGATTGCAGTAATATCAAAATACTAAGTTTTGTATCATCCAGTATGATTAGTATTAGGTTGCTGGAGTCATGCGGAAGGTGTCAACGGATGTTTGCAGCGAGCGCGTTGCGGGCCCACATCCTAATCTGCTCGAGACGTGACGATGAGGATATGGAACCGACGGAGCCGCTGAAGTCAGGGGAAGGAACGCATGCGGGGGAGTGAGGATATGTTGAGGCCGTTATATACTGCACGGTGATGGCTACGATATTAAGCTGAAGCGAAGATGTTGAGCAGAGTCTGGGCAATGTCCATGCGTGACCCCGAGTTTTACCAGAGCTTGGAGGCCACCTCCAACTGTCCCACCTTACTAATCAAAAATGATATCTTCCTGGGAATGTAACATGTATGCAATCTATCAAGCAAGGTGCCTGCCGGCCTGGCCGGCCCTGGTATATGATATAATTGTCTTATCACTCCACTACGTTCGTTCTCAGCTGTTCCACATTGTAGCCTTCATCAATTTCACGCAGTCGGGAGTCAGCCGCACCACAATCTTTGGCTCTAGTCTAAACAAAGATACTGAGGATGGAGCAAAGCATCATCCTGCACACCATAAGACAGACAAGATGCTAAATGCTGGCTTGGGCCATCTGCACAATATTAATGTAGTACGTCCGATTCACCAACTAACGAAAAGGAAGTCCTTCACTGCGTTCTTACAAGTCTCCGCACGGCGCACACTGACGCTGACCTTATCGAGTTATCCATGTGCCTTCCGCGCTTATTGAACTCTAAAGATATCCGAGTCCGCGGCTTGCGTTATACATCTTGTCACTATAGGGAGAAGACTGACCCGAGTACCTGCTTGGATCTCTCATGCCTATCTCTGCGGATTCGATAGCAAATTTTGGCTGCGCCTCTACTAGTATTGGGTTGTCACCCTAGGCACCTATTAAAGTCTGAACTTCTTCATCCATCAATGCATCACTCCCGTCCGACCCTCTGTTGTTCCAATGTCTTCAACCACAGGTGCTGAAGTCCTGACACAAGGTACAGGGTATGGCGTCGTGCTCGGAATCGGTTTCGTCTTCGCTATCATCATGATGGGTTTATCAACCCTTCAAAACCGCTATACGACCTACAAGATCTCCACTTCCGAGGAGTTCAATACAGCATCACGCAGCGTAAAACCCGGCCTTATTGCTTCTGGCATCGTATCGGCATGGACTTGGGCAGCAACACTCTTGCAAAGCTCCACAGTCACCTACGAATATGGTCTATGTGCTGGATATTATTATGCAGCAGGTGCTACCATTCAAATATTTGTCATGGCAATTCTCGCCGTGCGGGTTAAACAGATCGCCCCATACTGTCACACCTTCCTCGAGATTGTTCACGCTCGTTACGGTAACACAGCACACTTCATGTTTGCAACTTTTGGACTGGTCGTTAATCTTATTGTCTCGAGCATGTTACTGCTTGGTGGCAGTGCAGTTGTCAATGCCTTCACTGGGATGAACATTTATGCCGCCAACTTCCTCATTCCGCTTGGAGTCTGTATCTATGTCATCCTCGGGGGTCTTCGCGCCACGTTCCTATGTTGGTGATCGATAATTCCCCCTCAGTTGACCCACTGATTCAGGTTTGTTGCAGGCGATTACTCACATACACTCATCTTGATGATCCTCATATTTTACTTCTTCTTCTGGACATACACGAAAGCAGACCTCATCGGCGGTTTTGAGGGAATGTACAGCTTGCTACAACAAGCGAGCATTGAGCGACCTGTAACCGGAAACCAAGATGGCTCATACTTAACATTGAAGTCCAACTGTGAGCTGTCTCTCACACCCTTCACAGTCGTTTACTGAACTTTTTTTTCGAGATGGACTTACATTTATGATCATTCAGATCACTGGTGGATTTGGTACTGTCATGCTGGATCAGGCTCGTTATCTATTACCGCAAAAAGTAGATGCTCGCTAATATCATAAACAGGGCTACTGGCAACGTGCAATCGCATCAGAAGCAAAGACTGCTGTCCGAGCCTATCTTATGGGCGGTATTGCCTGGTTTGCTGTACCTCTCACTTTCTCCTCTATCATGGGCCTTGCTGCTGTCGCGCTTGCCAACAGTGAGTTTAAATACTTGTATTCAAAATCGTAAGTATCTGACGACGTTCTAGACCCCAGCTTCCCGTATCCTGGTGGGCTCACCGCGGCGGAGATTGATGCTGGCCTAGCTGCCCCCGCTGGTGTGGTGGCACTATTGGGCAGTGGTGGTGCAGCAGCTATGGTGAGCCACATATTTCCCATTCGCTGACAACTGAATAACAGCTGGTAATTTAGTTGATATTGCTTTTCATGGCAGTGACCTCAGCTGCATCTTCCGAGATGATTGCGACATCTTCTATTCTTACATTTGATCTGTATCAGATCCACTTTAATCCTGATGTACGTGAACATCGATCGCTACCAACAACGAACACTGATGGTGATATTCAGGCATCACCAGAGTCTCTTATACGTGTATCTCATATAATGGTCGCAGTATGGGCCCTGGTAATGTCGTGTGTTGCATCGTTATGGATCGGAATAGGAGTGTCTTTGAACTGGCTATTCTTATTCTCAGGAACTTTGTTCACTGGCGCTGTTGGCCCAGTCATATTTAGTGTGGTATGGCGCCAGCAAACCAAAGAAGCTGCCATCAGTGGTGCATTGGGAGGAGTGGTAGTTGGCATAATTGCATGGCTGACAGTTGCAAAAACGTATTACGGTGAATTGACTATCGCAACTACAGGTGAGTTCTTGTCCGCTGCAGACACCGCGTTCTATGCTGACGAAGAACAAGGACTAATGTATCCTAACCTTGCTGGAAACCTGGGCGCTTGCTGCTCAGGTGCTATCATTTCCGCCGTCATCACTCTCATTAAACCTGACAACGAGTTCGATTGGTCTGCTACTAAAAGAATCAATCCCCGAGCAAGAGAGATGGATCGAAAGAAAGCGACCCTACCGGATTCCGTATCTGGCTCTGGCTCCGACTCACCTGTCGAGAAAGAGAAACAAGAAAGTGCCATGGTGGATGTAGCATCGGCGAAAGACGACATAACGATTGATGTCCCAGCTGAAGAATACGCCGAGCTTCAAAAGTCGCTCAAGGTTGCTACCTGGGCATCATTGACACTGATATTCATCGTACTTTTCGTGAGTGTAAATGATATGTTGACGCTCGGTTATTAACTTGATCGCAGCTTATACCGATACCCATGTTCCTATCACACTACGTGTTCTCTCTGAACTTTTTCAGAGGTTGGATTATAATCTGTGTCATGTGGCTCTTTGTGGCTGCTGGCATCACATCAATCCTACCTCTCTGGGAGAGCCGTGCAGCGATAAAGGATATTTTCTCGGGTATGGTTCGGGACATATTCGGAGGTAAAGCACGAAAGGGGGCAATTGCAAGTAGTAACGTTGCATAGTTGTATGTGGTAGATGTAAGTCGTCTATAGCCGAAGGCTGGGTATTATAAGTGATGCCGACAAAGCCGCTGATGCACCACCATCAATATTGTCAAGGGTCCGAAGTTCTGTGTGAGACTGTGAGTCGCTCGTCTCTATCACTCGGCGAGCTCAGGGGTCTCCTGGCTCGTTCCCTTTACAACCTCACTACAACGGTATCTATATAAACCTATCCACGCTAGCTTCACCAGACATAGACATGCCTGTTACTGTTATACCATCGAAGCCAGTGCCCGCTGAGTTGTCGGGGACTTTTAGATTCATAGGTGAGATGGGATCCAAACTTTCCAATCCGCTAGTCGTATTGATCTGGGCCATCATCTGGCCAATCATCAGACATCGGAGGTGAGTGCCACTGAGAACCATGGATTATGGTGGTACACATCGTATTAATACGATTTCGACGTCGTCGTTCAACAGTTAATCTCACCGATGCTGTATTTCATGGCGTTCACCATGGCAAAAAAAAACACGAAGGTCTACCGTGGCCTTCAGTGCTTCTACGTCGTGCTAACAGTCATTTGCAGACGATTTTGAAGCAGTGCTGGACAGATCGCGGTTAGCTGGTGTTCGATCTATGATAATCACAGGTGGAAGCCTTGGAGAATCAAAAACTGCGCTGTCTCTTGCTGCTCAACATGGTTCGCACCATCTCGCAAAACCAGATTTATTTGTACTCTGATGTCATAATGTGCTGCTTTACTTTACAAGGTTTTTTTGCGACAGTAGGATGTCATCCAACCCGCTCAAAAGAATTTGACGAGTACCCAGGCGGTCCAGAAGCCTACCTTCAGGCGCTGGACAGCCTAATAAGTGCCAATCTCCACGGTAAAGGCAGAGTTGTTGCTATTGGCGAGTGTGGCTTGGGTATGTCTAGATGTTGCATGTGTGCAAAACATTGTCATTGAGGTCATCAGATTACGATCGCACACACTTCGCACCGGAAGACGTACAGCGACGACACTTCCGTATGTGTGGAACATCAGACCCCTTATTTCAAGCTAACTGTCGTGTGCTGGGTGATATCTTGCAGGGTCACAGCTATTCCTCGCCAAAAAGTACAAGCTACCGCTGTTCCTCCATTCCCGTGCAGCCCACAAAGACTTTGTGAGTATCCTTCGTGACGAAGGTTTCGGAGAGGATGGAGAGAGAAAGGGAGTTGTTCACAGTTTCACAGGGTCGGTTGAAGAGGTCGTCGAGCTCGTGAGTTCACAATCTATCATCCTTCGAATTGCGCTGACTCTGACGCACAGATGGGCATGGGCTTCCACATAAGGTGTGGTTCTAGAGGGTTGGCATTGAATTTTGGCACTGATAGTATCGCATCAGCGTCAATGGGTGCTCCCTCAAAACAGAGCAAAACCTGCTAGCTGCAAAGGCAATTCGACCGGACAAGCTTTTACTCGAGACAGGTCAAATTTCGATGTTATTGCGGTTGTGGAGGGTACTGAAAAATGGGTTGATATTAGATGCTCCTTGGTGCTCCATGACCTCAACACATGCATCAAATACCTTACTAGCGACGCTTCCGGCGTCATTAAAGTCAAAGTATTTCCCTTCCGGCACTAAATTGCCATCGTTCGTGATGGGCAGGCCGGTGAAAGGAAGAAACGAGCCCAGTGCGATCGGAGGCGTTGCATGGGTCATACACAGGCTCAACGAAGAAATCCCGTTCGAGAAAGTGACAGAAAAGGTGTACAAGAACACTATTCAACTATTTGGCCTAGAGGAACTTCAGAGACAAAATTAGAGTTTTAGAGTCACAAATTACAATTTTTGGTTCCTTGTCATACGCCGCTGAGCTAGGCTCCATCCGAGTCCATCGTCAAGCCATGGGACGTCACCGAGGCAAGCTGGTGTAGTCTAACGACCCCGAGTATGTGTCCAGGATCTTGGCTGCAAGTACTTGCTGATGGGTCGCAAATGGCACCTACAAGAATATTTCGATAGCTGCAAGGATCTTTCGAGAATCGAGTTCCTGCACTGCTAAGATAGACCTCACTCATACAATGCAATTTTGTTGAAATGTCACGCTAGGGCACGTGATGAACCGGTGTATGAGTGAGGTCTATCTTACTTTCATTTGACAGGTCGCGCTTAAAGATCGGAGCAACCTAGGGTCTGCATGTGCCTCGTTTACTTACTAGTTGTAGTAAACATTCACGATTCCCGAGTCACGAAGTCTGCCCAGTATAGCCTGCCGAGATTCGGCTAGTGTGACTGTCCGTGACATTTCGTGACATGAGTGTGACTCACGAAACAGTGAACCGTCACGAATGAGTACACGTTACTGATAGTAGAGCGATGGAGGCTCAGCTAGAGCCTGACCAGAGTCCCTCATTATTTCCTTTTATCTTCGCTATCATCGGGCTCGTGTGGTATGTAGGTTTATGGAGTATCGGTCTCCTGGGATGCAGAACAGGGTGAGCAACTGTGTTACTTACTTGGACGACAGCCGTTCACTCAAGGTCCTCGCCGCTGTGACAGCCGAAGAAGGTACCGCATGCGACCGCGGTCTCCACTCGCAACGGCGCCACCGGATTCCATCCCTGGTGTATCTATTCTGCGACCACTGAAAGGTCTGGATGCCAACTTATACGAAAACCTCGAGTCTACGTTCACGCAAGAATACCCCGACTTCGAAATCATATTGTCTGTCGCTGATGAACAAGACCAAGCTCTTCCAATTGCGAGAGATCTCATTTCTAAATACCCCAGTATTTCTGCCAGGATAATAATAGGTCAGTTATAGTGAGCAATGATGACGACTCGGCTGAAGAAAGTAATTCAGGTGAAGAAGTGGTGGGGGTCAACCCGAAAGTAAACAACCTCATTCGTTCATACCGTGAAGCTACCCATGACATTCTCTGGGTTATCGATTCAGGTGTCTCGGTTGCACCTGGGACACTTGCGCGCTCCGTTGACCTACTCGAGTCACCCACGTACACAAGACCTCCCAAGAGGCGCGTTGCGGTCGTCCATCACGTCCCATTTGCATCTGCTACAGAAGGGTTTCTCGGTTCAAGAATTGAGGAGGCATTCCTCAATACCAATCATGCGAAGATGTATCTCGCAATCAACACTGTGTCTATCGAATCTTGCGTTGTTGGGAAATCAAACCTCTACCGGCGCTCTGATCTAGAGCGAGGTAAACGGTTCCTTGAAGCCTCGCGCGCACACAGAATCAAACGATGACCGGGATTGTACCCATGGCCTTGCTGCGTTTGGAAAATTCTTGGCCGAAGATAACATGATTGCCAGTGCTTTATGGCACGAGCTGGATCTCCGACACGATTTATCATGCGACGTGGTGCATATCGCAATCGGGAAAATGTCTTTATCGGACTACGTATGGAGGCGTGTGCGCTGGATTCGTGTACGCAAGCACATGGTTCTTGCGGCAACAATCATGGAGCCCTTTACCGAAAATCTTATGGCTAGTTCCATCGCTGCTGCAAGTTTGCGGTATCTTTTTGGTATTCCAATATGGCTTTTTCTGGTGGTTCACCATGCAGCTTGGCTCTGGGTGGATTTAGATGTTTACGAGTCACTCGCTGGTCATCCTCTTCCAGCAGACAGGCGATGGTGGTTCTTCACTGCATGGTGCCTGCGCGAACTTCTAGCATTGCCAATCTGGTTCTTGGCTATGCTTGGTAATGAGGTGATTTGGAGAGGGAAGAAATACGAGGTATTACGAGCGGGAGAAGTCAAGGGGACATCGGGCGATGGTAATCACGGGGGATTGTTTAGATTATTTACCCGGTGGAGGCAGCAGGATTCTCACTATCAGCCTTTACCAAGCAATCATTCAGATACATAGCGCATGTATTTCGTTCATAGCTAGCTCATGATTGGTTGTTGATTATCATTAACGGTGACCATACGATAACAGGTACGTATACCCACGATTAGAAAGTACAGAAAGCGTCTGAGATACATAAAGTAAGAGTGACGGATGATATGAGATGAAAGGTGATAGACAGTGGTTGGCTATGAGGGTATAGCCACATCAGGCTCAGATTCAACGAGAGCTGCCATTGCCTCTTCTTGACTGTGCTTTGCAAGAAGACGGAAATTGTAAATCATGACTACTTCATCAAAGAAGGTATCAGACCAATCTTCCGCCCTGCATGAATTCAGTGCGGCAGTGCGCAAGCGCAAATCACGTCCGTCGCATATGATCTTGCATAAAGATGCTTCGAGACTGGCAGGAGCAGGCGGGCTGAGGTGTATGTTGTCGTGAATCCCTGGCATCTTTCTGCCGTTGATTGGAAAACCAATTCTTAACTTGGTGATATTCCCTACGAATGGCAGGATCAGGCAATGCGGCAACAATGAGCCACTGACAACAAACCTGTTTATGATGACGCCCAGCTGGGACACCCAAGCTTCGTCAGGGTACGGGGTAATCTCATCATAAACCATCTGCATTACGAGGCGTTGGCGTGAGGTTGCGGGAGTCTTTCCAGTAGATGTGATTGCCAACGCGCGTTTCTTCAGCTCCCGTACTCTAGTCTCTCTCTCGCTTTGAGCACGAGCCGCAGATTGTAAAAATGCTTGTTTATATGCTTTCTTCTTGAGATTGTCTTCAGAAGTAGTCCCATGACGTGATGTGATGGCAGAAACGGAAGCGGGCTTGAATCGCAATGATGATCCCTTGCTGGTTATGACTCGTTTCCGTAAAGTACGTCGCGGAACGGACTCCTCTGAAAGTACGACGGACTCCATGGATGGGTCTGCAAACTCAACATCCATGCCATCTGCTGAGACATCTAGAGACGGTTCCCGCGACGAAGATGACGAGACGGGACTATCCACTGCAGATCCATCTTCCTGACCATCAAAGGAAGAAAGAGCGTCACGGAAAGACAGAGTGGGTGAATTTGAGAGTGCTGTTGTAGACGAGCCTGTGTGTGATGTGTTCATCAGTGATCTGTCTGCAGTAATGTATGGGATACAAGGGCTGAACTTGTCTCGGTTATTCATGAGAGAGAGATGAAGAGATACCTGCCTGAAATAAATACCGACGCTTGATCCACTGGTGTTCGGTGCAGGTAAGACAAACCTTCTTTATTGTAGTGCCGCTGTGGGGAGTGGTCCAAACCAGATATTGTTTCGGGGGGAAGATCGTTAATGATTGAGAAAGGAATGACTACTGCTTTTATGACAGGTGCCGATATGGCTAAGTCTATGGGGACCAGACGTCCTTACTCTTGGCTGAAGTCGATAGCAAAGGGTGGTCGGTAGCCGGAACTCGCCTTCTTGACTCTCTTATGTGTGGTCCTTTTTTGGATTATTGAAGCCTTTGGTCAATAAAGCCAAACAACCGCTTTCCCAAATCAATTAAGAATTACATAGGTACTACAACAACCAGGTTCGGGTAACCAGAAGAAGCCCTGAGCGCCAAATCCTCGAGAGGGCTCTGGCAACAATTCATAACAATGTCCGATCATGATCACACAAAGCAACGCATAATCGCATCAGTATTTGATAAGCGCAACTCAGGTGCTGCGATACAAGAGACATATGTTGGACACATAAAAATATGGGAGGATGCAGGAGAAGACTCTGGTAAAAAGCCTCGCTATATCTTGCTGTCACGTATGTTATTATCATCTGTCTTCTGGATTGCTCAAACAGTTCTTCAGAGGGTAGCGATGGAACTGGTTTCCTTCACAAGTCAAAGCTTAACACAAACGGCTCATTCTCCGTAGGGAAGACATGGAAACTTTCCGAGTTGCGTGGTATAGAAGTTTCGAATGTACGTATAAGCATAGCGATCAGCACAATCACACAGCTGACACTTATGTAGCCAGGATCCTTCAATATCACATTGGCTCGTACATATAAATGGCAGACGGAAAACCATCTTGATCAAGCAAATTTCATTTCCGCGGCAGTCAAGCTAGTTCTACGTTGTCACAAATGGTACTGGTACACTCCATCTGGTCGGAGTGCGACAAAATGAGCCAGGTCCTGGTAAGATAGCTGGGTCCTCACCCGCGCTCGCTATTGACCCTTATTATCAGCCAGTGGATTCTCTCAATCCTCGGAAACGCTGGTTACTCAAGCACCGCAATCTGACTTGAACATAACTACTGGGCCAGCAACACGACAAGCTGCGACTTCGCGAGCGGGGACACCACAGCCAGGCATGCGTACGGAGCTCCCTCCTCGCACTCAAGTTGCGAGACCTTCTTCTCCTGCTGGTTCCAATATTAGTAATCTATCTCAGAATAATTCCAGCTCGAGCGTGATCCGACTCCCTTCCCCACCACCAGCCTCTCAGTTACAAGGGCAACTGCAGATCGTTCAATCCAGTCTACCAAGTTCACTTCGACCGCGGGTTATTCGCCGTCCATCCAATGCGACGCCGCCACAAACCCCCTCGTCGAATGGCTTGCCAGCAAACCTCGTACCGACCCGTGCTCCTCTCTCTGCGTCGCCTCTACGCACTCCCAAAGAAAATTACCCTTTCGCTGTATCTCGCCCCTCTGCTGAATTTGTTCACGCGTCGAGTCCGCTTTCAGCCACTCCCACAGTTGCCCAGCTTCCTCGATCAGAGTCCCCGATTTCTGTTCGATCTCAAAAGCTGCCTTCAGGCAAATCCATACCTACCCCAGAGCCTCCGCAACCTCGCCGGGAGCATAACAACCGAGTATCATTCTTTGACCCTCTTAATCAAGCTGCTTTGGATAGGCTTGTCGCGGGAGATTATCCAGAGGATGGGAGTGCAGGTGAAGAGGAGACCTCGCAGGCTACAATGGCGAGTGTAGAGGAGATGCTCGAGGGGTTTGAGTGGGCCAGCGATGATTTCTTTGGGAAAAAGAACGCAAAGGGTGCAGCAGACTTGGTTGAGGCCCGTCTGTTGGACGAGTTGATAGCCCTTGAGAAGGTGAACCAGACACCCAGGAAACCTCATGTTTCTTAACTACTAACTCACGTTCCAGGCCAATATACACTCCTTCGTAGAGTCCGATGATCGTGTGGCCCTGGTCATGAATTTGCTAGAAGAAGCTATCACTGAAGTCGACGCAATGGACAGCTTAATTTCATCATACAAAATTCATTTGAACGTTAGACCTTGTCATCAAACTGGCTGTATCGTACACTAAAATATCTGACCGCAGGCCGTCGGGGATGATATCTCGTTCATACAATCTCAGCGGCGCGGCTTACAGGTTCAGACACAGAATCAACGCGGTTTGCTGAGCGAGCTCGAGAATCTCCTTGTACGTTCTTCCGAATCTGCCACCATACGTCATACTGATGCTAGGACAGCAAACCGTCCAAGTAGACCGTGAAGTACTGGTGACGCTTACTCAGGAATCCCTCGAAAAGGTGTCTGGGATACAGAAATTGGAGACAGCGGCCACAGAACTTTATAAAGCTCTCCAAGCTGGTCAAGACACCGGTATGTTTGTACCTTTTGGCGTTTCTTCCCAGGGTTTCATTGTTCGCAGACATGGCTGCTACCATGGAACGATTAGACGAATACAGGACCCACAATGCACAGTTTTGCAAACGTGTCTATGACTATTTATCAATCATGTCTGTTGCACAGGTGAACTGTTTTTCTGTGGTCATGAATGTGATACTTATATTCCCTACGTAGGCGGAGATTATCCTGGATGGAAACAATGGGATTACCAAGCCTGGACGAGGACGTCCGGTTATCAAGAGTCATCAAGGCATGGAGGCATACCTCGGTCGTTACGCTGGACTGCTTCTCTACCTGAAGGAGATGGACGAGAGTATATATTCAAGATTCTGTGGAGTAAGGGGATTTCAGTGCCTACAACTCCTATTGACGGATCTATCTCAAGGCGTACTTCTCCACCACCAGTGAACTTCACAAAAAACAGATGGGGAGTGTACTCTCCATTTACGCGGGACTGCTGAAGAGGACACCAGATGAAGATGCTGACCAGAGTTTGTGATCAGCCCTTTTAAGCAATTGTTTGGCTCATGATGAGATAGACTTTGGGTCGACTAATGAAAATAGTCAAAAGGCATCAATTCGTCGCGCTGGAACCATAGTCCGTTCGCCTATCGAGGGACGAAAGGATCGAAATAAAGACAGGGAGAGGCAGACGAATGAGGAGTATCGTGCACCGGAGGTGCGCTTATATTTGATTCAGCTAGTCTTGACTTACAATAGTATTAGGCTCTAGGTCTTATTTTGGAACAGATTGCGCCTCAAATCTACCGGGAGGGAGACTTCATTGCAGATTTCCTGCAAATCAATGATGCTGGTCTTACGTTTGCTGATTACGCTGGGCTGGACAATTACTTCAGGCGACAAGCTGCACGAAGCGCAGGCTTGAGTCAAACAACCATGAAGCTCGCACGCGGTGCCATGGACTTAATTTTCGGCTTTTTACCTGCCGAGCTGAAGCAATGGATTGATTCCGCTATTGCCAAAGATACGTTGTACGTGTTGCATGATTTTCCCATGGAGAAGTTTTGTTCATTCCGCCGATAGGCAGGTAGTAGGAGTCATAGTCTGCTTGGAGCGCTTTGTAGCAGATGCGGATGAGCGTGACAATTTGTTCTTTCTGCAAATGCTGGAAAAGCAACATACTAGGCTCAAGGGAACCTTCGATCGCCATATCGTAAGCCGTTGTCTCTGCTATTAAATTGCTGCTCACGACAAGTTTGCAGAATCAACAAATCAAGATGATCGAGGAAACAAAGCTCACGAGCAAGAAGCGGAAGGGGGTCGCTCATTTCGTGAAATACTTCCCGATCTATGTCGGTCGCATCGAACAGCAACTAATTGGCGCGGATGGTTTGGAGGTCAGGGCCAATGTTGATCTCGCTTATGAGAAGATCGTGCACAGCATGTTTGAATGTCTTAAGCACATGGCCACCCTTAGACGGTGACGATGAAGACAAGGGCCAGCTCAATTATCACGTGCTGCTTGTTGGTAAGTGAGCTAATATACTTCCGATCGCTTGTTAAAAGTCGGCTTGTAGAGAATATGCACTACTTCGTTGCGGAAATGTCCCAGCTGGATGTAGGCTCGGTTTCTGGGTTCCTGAGACAAGCGGAGGCGATTTACAATGAAAATCTGAACGCCTATGTCAAAATTGTCCTCAGACGACCTTTTGCAAAGATCACCGTACGCGCAGTTGTTTTCTCATTCATCACCACTTTCTTATTTTTGCCTTCCACACAGGACTATTTCGACGGTATCGAACGGTTGCTCACGACTACTGCCCCGACCGAAGTCTCAAAGAACAGCAACTACAACAGATCTTCGCTGAAGAAAGTTGTCAAGGAGTTTGATGGCAAAGACATCCGCAAACATCTTGATGCCTTATTCAAGCGCGTTGAGAAGCATTTTACTGAAGCTGAAGAGAAGGCGACGAAGGAACAAAGCAGCGGCATTGCTCCTGGTACGGTCATGGTCGGCGTGTGGAAAGCTTGTGAAGAGGAACTACAAAGAATGACAGAGAACTTCAACAAGCGGATCTCGCAATGTTATGCGGATAGTGGCGTCTCATTGGAATACACTAGTGCCGATGTTGAGACATCCTTCAGGCGTCACAGGCTCGGGTCATAACTTATTTTGCAGTACTAATAACGAACCTCACATTGGATGCACATTGTATAGTACGCACTGTCTACCATATACACATACCACCCATTCTTGTTGAAATGATAGAATAAGAAATAAAAAAGAATGTCCGTGCTTCGGTGAGTTTTGATAGAAATACTTCAACAAAATGAACTTTAAGTGGACTCTGAGCGTGCCTCAGGGGTCTGCTCGCCATCATGATTGACGTCAACACCACTGGCATATGTAGCCTGTTTCGCAACAGCATCGGGAGAGGAACTAGGTTTCGTGGAAGACTTTGATAATACTCCCATGATGGCAGGACCATAAGACGTCCAAAGCCCCTTCACTGATTCGAGGGAGTAGGGCTGTTGTCCAGGTTGGCCCTCCCTTGCAGCTTGAGATTGTTTAGTGATGGGAGTCTTGTTCAAGATGGTCCACACGAGGTCAATGAGCATAGAAATGCGCGACTGAAGGAAACCAAGGACATTGTTCTGAGCAGAAGCAATGCTAGAATCCAACTCTGCTTCATTCTTGGAGCAAAAGGGTTCAAGGTAGGTTTTGTAGATGTAGGTCGAACCCTGTCTGTCTGTGAAAACCTAGATAAGTACAGCAGGAGATGACTACGGACCTGGAGTTGCGGGAGAGATAGGTAAAGCAAGAAAAGGGTTCGTGCTTCCCAATAAAACGGCAGCCTTATACACCAGATAGGGGTGAATAATGTTGAGACGAGATGAAATAAGTGAAAACTAACCATGATACGAATGGACCTATTGTTGACTCAATCGCAATAAAAGCTCCAACGACAGCCCAATACATCGAAAGGCTCTGAAGTTCACCGGACAAAGGAGAGGAGAGCGCCTTGTAGGTAGAATAGCTTGGCAGTAAAAACGCGAACCACGCGCTGAAATGGAAGTATAGTCAGTGTATTTATGGCCATGATGAGTCGACAGATATCATCACCAAAGCAGATGGGACACCATAGACATTAACATTATGAATTCCTCTCCAAACTTCGAACGGTGGTCGACGACGATAAGTACTGATCACAAACTGTTGTCGGAATAAATTATAAACAATGAACAGAAGATATGATACTTGTACTGACAAGTGTTGCGATATCAGAAACAAGTCAAGGTGGGTTGAGTGCGTGTATCAGGATCAGACACTGGCAGTACTGCGGCCACGTACTCAAACGTCACGGAGTTGGATTACATACGGCTTTATGTAATATCGCCCCTTTTAGTTGGAGTAGTTTGCGGACTCAGACTCAGTTCTGCCTCGACTCGGACGTCCTCGCATGCATGCGAAACTAAATTTTGTGTCCACATGTGCCATAATTGTCCGTCATCCACCCTTAGAGCTGCTAGCTGCGGCCAAAGAATTCACAAAGCAACTGTGGTCATTGTTCGATTAGAATGACAAGGACTAGGCAGTGGACTGTCCAATATCCACATCTCCATAGCGGTAGGCCACAATCCACAGTAGCTTGATCGATAGTATATATACCGTACACGAAGGAAACTGTTTGGTATCACCTCCAGCCCCCAAAAACAGGCAACGTCTCTTCCAAGAAAGCTCAAGTCATCACTATGAAATCTCAAAGCACAAGGTCTCCGAGTCATCGTACTTCTCCCTATCAAGTCGAAAATACTCCCAAGAGGAAATGTATGACAAATGAGCAGCTTAACATACTTGACCCCTATTATGCCAAAAACAATCGCCCTACGAATGATGATATCGAATCACTGGCCAAGGCGATTGATACGTGAGTTTGGATTCCTTCACATAGTGCGCTTACCCAAGCTGACCAAATGGATGTATAGTCCAGCCCAGAAAGTTAAGAACTGGTTCAATAATCGGCGCGCCAAAGAGGCTAGACTACAACGGAATTCATCGGATATGTTATCGCAATGCTTCTGGAACATGAGCATTGATGATACCGATGACTTGACCGATTCGGACGACAACGATGACGAGCACGAGTCGGCTGATGCCCAAGGTGCCCTAAACCAAGGGGATCTGGACCAAGAAGCTCTTTATCAAGAAGCCCGCGCCTGTGTAGCGACGATGGCAGAAATGTCACCCGAGGAAGTCGATATGCTGTTCATCGAGCAAGAAACCCACGCCGCCCGCGCCTGTGTCTTGGCCATGGCCAAGATGACACCAGAGGAAGTCAATGCGGCGTTTATTCTCAACAACCTCAAGCGACGAATCATTGTTCATCCTCCTCAAAAATGACAACGTGACGTGTTTTCAAGCGTTTGACTGGCTCCTACACGGCTACTCGATCAGCGCTATATAGCCGCTATATGATGATTATTACTTACTTACCTTGTTATTGATACCCGACATGAATATGATGTACTTATATTGGCCCCAGTAGGCATCATGCACTGCAGTGAGGCAGCCCACCATCTTCTAGCACGTAAAAGATCGCACTCCATCATAGGGTCAGCGATACAAATTATCATTTGAGAGATTCTAGCGGTCCTCCGATTATCCGCTCCTGGTTTGTGGAAGTCTTGACATCGGAAATGAACCAACGATTACTGACTCCGAATTTTGGAGCCCCATGGTAAAACCTCGGACTCACCGACTGCTGGCAGAACTTGAAAAGGTCCTCTGAAATTGAGTAAAGTTCTCACAAGTTGCCAGAAAACTATCCACGGTAAGAGCCACAGAAATGAGTATGATTGCAGCAGGACACACTGGTACTACGGACAACATTTAACTGGTCACTGTAGTAGGAGCTGATAGAAGCTTAGTACTACCGCGTTCCAGGGGTATCAAATTCGGGAGGAGCACAACTAGGGTCACTCCAATCAACGAAGTCGACCAGGGCGCAGCCTTGACTGCATAGATACGTGAGGGGGGGTTTCCAACGATATCAGAAGCGGCCAATTATAGCCTACTGTCCACAGTTGGACGTGTTCGTTTGAAAACTAAACTGATTGACCTGAAGAGGTGATATTTCAATGATATGATGGATGCAGGGCGCACGGTCAGTGAGTCAATTGCCATTGGAACGATGATAGTAAAGGGGAGTTAAAAAGGGTGGCATGGGGATGATAGCAGATATGGCTGCCATGGTCGTGGGGACTCGTAGGGACTCGTGGGGAGTAACCTCTTCGAACAGTTTGTCCGTTTACAAAATTGATTTTGTATTGAAATTATCTTTTATATTTAGATTTTGCTATTTATTTTTATTTGCTGTCAGCGTCGATATCGTACTAGTAGATGAAGTTGAACAACGTCGCATGTGGCAAGGCAGTCTTCGCTGAACGTACGTGTTCGGTTCGGAATCGCTTTCTACCTGAACTCTTTTTCTATCTAATATCCTGGCATTAAATCAGTCTGTACAATACTCCAGCAGTGCACGCATCAATCATGGATCCTCCTTCAAGTGCTAACTCTGTACTTCACAAGAAACATGATGACGATTTCGACAAGGCTAATGACAAACGGGATGTTAAGCCAGTCGTGAAGACTCTTAATCGTGTCCCTCGTATGTTCAATTAAGTTCTTCATGTATGAGATCTCCCTACTGACTGGCCCGATACAGGCGCCTGTGTGAGCACGCTCCGGCTTTCCAAGTTCCCGATGCATACTCACTTATGCCATTAATTGAACAGAATGCTTGTCGGAAACAGAAGATGCGCTGCGAGGGTGCTGACAATCCACCATGTAGACGTTGTCGTCATGCAGGACTCGATTGTCTCTTCGAAAAGCCTACCAGAGAAGCAACTCTCACGGGCGAGGCAGGACTTGAGTCAGTCAACTTGGCTCTATGTCATGTCACGATCTTTTACTTACAATATTACAGGCGTATACGAAGTCTAGAAGCTCATGTTGCTGAGATACGTTTCACTCAATCTTCGATACAGAATACTCTTCTCGAGATCGTTGGTCACCTTCGAGGCGCTACGCCGTATAATAACCGCTCTCCCTCGACATTCTCACAGGCGCCCTACAACACACAGTCGCCAACAATGCAATCTATGGGATCTCCTCCAATGTCTTCTGGCCCGAACGGGTCCCATGCGGGCGATCCAGGTATCCACAGCGTACAGGTTGGCCCTACCACGCCCACAGCCTATCACCCTAACCTCAACCATGGATCTCTTCCACCTATGATAAACGCCCCACCGCGTCATTCGAGAAGCTCTGTATCCCAAGGTGCATTGGTATCTGTTGGGCAATCTCCTGGTCATGGAGAGTACCACCCACCACAGCTTCCGCCCTCACATACCAATTCGACTTCACCGACCCAATCATATGGTTATTCCCCTTCTGGGCAAGTTTTACCCCCATTTTCCACGTTACAAGCGATCGGTCGTACAGCCTCACAAGTATCTATACCTGGCCGTCATGATTCACATCAACAAAGGCAAATGCAGCGTGGCCACAATGTGCATTCACCTTCGGGATCTAAACGTACCGCCCCGTCCTCGTCCAATCCCACTAGCGCGGACTCCACAGACGTTGATGATGATAATGGAGAACTACCAGCCTCTGGCCTGGTAGCACCATGGGAAGTTCTAAGAGGTCTAGCTGACGTGGCTATTGAGCGAGCTGCCAAGGTCAGTGATTTTGCCGTTTCACACCCACTGCGCGTGAACCCCTATCATATAGGAAAATGGCGAAGGAAGCAGTGAACCACAGAGCAGAACCAGAACGCCGTCCCCCGAGCGAAAATCTAGGCCAATGAAGAGGAGAAAGATCCGTCATCGGTCCTCCCGTGGTTTGACTTTCCCGGATGGTAGCGTTTTCTTATCCACTTGCACAACTGATTCTCAATGTTTAAATGGGCAGTTGTCACGACGAACATTATCTCGGAACAAGAAGCCCGTGAACTGTTCAGAATGTGGTTTTATTTTTAGCCTCTTTTCTTCATGCTACGTACCAATGCCGTTACACAGATTTTATGCGGGATGTTCCACCTTTCTCCCAGTATTCGATTGCCAAGTCGACACTTTCGATGGGCTCCATGAGCGGTCACCGTTCGCTGTCGACGCCATCTGCACAGTTGCTGCCCGCGTGAGGGACGGCGGAGGTGACTTGCTGACTTATTTTGTTATCAGCTTATCTCATTATCCATCAGGAAATGCAAGCGAGACTTACACCCGATGTTTGGAAGCAGTGCAAAATATTTCGTGTGCCACGCTGTTTGCTCCGGTCAGCCGCGTAGAAGCCGTGCAAGCGATGAGTGAGTGTGCTTTCCGTGACATCCAAATTGAATTAATCATTTGAAAGTTCTTGTTTCCGGGTGGTCGGATAACGGTTGGCTCAGTGGCGGTCACGCCGTTCGCATGGCCATGGAACTGTGTAAGTAGAATATTCACTGCAAAAACGAATGTCTGAGTGTTTTATTCTTTTTAGCACTTCACAAAGCTTGGCCGAAACTTCTGAGGCGAATGCAAAGCAAAACTAAAACTACCATTGACGGTTCGGAAGATCGCGACCTCGTTGTTGCATCCCGAACTTGGTTTTGCCTGTATCTCTTCGAGCATCAGTGCGTTTACGGTCGGCCTTAAGCACATTTTCCGATCACTGATTGCATATCAAAGATTATCCTATGGCACAGGACGTCCAGCCATCTTAAAGGATGATGAAAGTATATGGCAATGCCGTTTGCTCCTACAGCACCCTTTAGCAATTGAGGATGATATGCGCTTGGTTTCGACTGTTGAGCTTATGGCTATCCGCGAAAGAGTCCACAACAAGCTGTCACCTTTTGAACGACCTGTCGATGAAGTGACTTTTGCAGTCATTCAACAGGCTGACTCTGAATTCCGAAATTGGTATAAAACTTGGGATCAGGCTTTTTCGCAAAAGTATGAAGATGCAGGTGCGATTCAACCGTCAGGAACCACTCCCCGTATGCCCTGCTGACTCTTCGTCAAGCGTTTTATCGACAAAGTTTGCAGATCCAACAACTTCATGCAGAGCTGTTCCACAATGCAACTGCCTTACGTGGTATTAATGGTCCAGAGGATGTTGAGAAGATGCCAGCCGCCCAAAGGGAATTGGCAATACGTTCAATACACACTGCTCGCCAGGGCCTTGAAATCACAGTTAACTCGCCATCGTATAGCGAAGGCATGAAATATGGTTGGCTCCCGTTATTTTATTTTTTGAGAATCCCTAAACTCGCATGAAATAGCTGTTCACTATACACATGCGACTGCAACATTTGCAGCATCACTCTTACTGCGGTTGGCACGTCTTTTGTAAGTTACGCGCGTTGTAGGCGGTGAATAACGTACTCACGCCGTCTCAGCCCGACTGATTGCGATATGCAAGAAATACGATCGCAGGTCGAACGTCTCGCTGGCTTAATGTCTCAAAGTGAGTTCTGTTGCACTTTACTGTAGAAACACACTCGTCAACTACTTCCTTGGCAGTTCCTGGCAAGCGTTATGCCATCACGCTTCAGCTGATGCTGAAAAGAGCAAAGAGGCGTAAGGCAGCATCAAGCTCCCGCTCCCCCAAGATACCTAGGGAGCCCCCTCGAAACATGTCTATGGTGATTGACATGCAGCAGAATTTGCACATGAGCCCCGAGAATTTTGCTCAAAAGTATGATGTCGCATATCCGAGTCCTGAAGTCATGCAGCAGATGCAGATGGGCATGATGCCGCAGCAGACCGCCGAAGTCGACAACATTTGGCGTGGCTTTGAAATGACGTCGAACGAACAACTTCCAGTGTGGATTTCTGATCAGAGCCTGGGTGGTAACACATTTTCCCAGCAAGGCATGGATGCATTCTTGCTGCCTGCTGACTACCTACCTCCTGCCCCTCAGATCTGGTAGTAGTTCTTATCCACCGACATGCTGTTTTTATGGTTGTCATGATTATTTATAGGTTCTTGTCTATATGTTGTACGATTGTAAGTTCCTATCTGTTCTCGCGTGGTTATATATTTCTAGTATTCTTGTATAGCTCTTTCATCGCTATTCAATCGATCGGTGTGCTTTTGGATGACTATCCCCGGCTCAGGCTGGGCTGAATCGAAAGTAAGATGTACAGCATGGAAATTCGATCGGTGTGCAATCACGACCATCAGACTGGATCAGAATGTTTGAAGGGTATAAAAGCAAAAGTCCCTGATCTATGGTCTTCACAACCTTTTTTTGTGCATATAATGTACTCCCCTGTCATCCCAGAAGCGCGCAGGCGACCTGTATGTCATGAACGACTCCCGCATCTTGCTGGCATTGGCCTTGCGAGAGATTCGCCTTCATCCTCGCAGCAGTCGACTGCTAGCTCAACTTGGCGACCCACTGATGAGGCGATATCAGTTTCCTCATCTCAGCACACCAAGGCTAGGGAGGAAGTTGCTGCTGCCGAAATCAGCCGTACCTTCAGCGCACTGGAAAACGGAAGGACGCCACCCAAACGAAGACGCTCCGTCATGGACAGGCTAGTCCCTTTCACTCGACGCCCGCAAGAAGCGCTTGATGAAGAGATTTTCAGTGAGATGAAGACCTCTAATCCGGCGAGCTGGAAAACGAAGGGGTCCTCGATCAGCGGGGATGCCAACGCTGAAGTCAAGCAACCCAAGCTGCCTTTGGGAGGGGGAGGTCCAAACAGCTTTTATCAGGGGGCCAAGCTTCGTGCCAGCGTGATCAAGAGCAAGC